CAACAAGAACACTTATACTCTTCTAGAGTGGTCATCAATGAATGTGACGAAGTATTATGCACCACCGAACGATTTCTCTGACATATAACATACGTTAGTATAGACAAGATCAAAAGCATACATCATTCTTCTAGGCTGGTCCGGTCTCCTGAATGAAGCTTGTTGGCTAAACAGTGTGTGCATATTTTTAGGAGTTGACCTTTCAAGTTCGACAATAATTCCTTTTTAACGAGGATTTGTAGACCCTCTTACTCATGTGTTCGAGTCATCTGTGCCAGAGCTCCAAACTTGATTCATCTTGCATCACATTAGTCTCTCTATTGCCGACCTTTCTTTCTATAACATATAAAGATCTTTCTTTCTTACCTCGGGCTACCACCAAGCTATCTTTGGCGATTTTCCATCTTCCTCCACCAAAGTAGTTTACCAGCTCAACTTCATTGTGCTTTCCTGCCGAGATGATATTGATCTGCATATAAGGAACATGTCTGACCTCCTTCTGAACCAATCTACAGCCCATGTCAATCATCATCACGACTTCTCCAACTCCCACTATCTTGTTGATAACTTGGTTACCCATCTTTACGATACCAAAGTCACCGCCTTAATATGATGAAAAATACTCCTTGTGGGGTGTGACATGGAAAGATGCTCCTAAGTCCACAACCCACGAACCCGTAATATGCTACATTCAGATAGTTCTCTTCATCAATCAGGAAGATATAGACCTTGACATTGGTTGCTATGGTCGTAGTGCTCTGCTATTTTTTCTTCCTTGGGTTTATCACATCCTGCTTGGCATTGCCCATCCTCTGGTCATTCTTCAAAGCCCGTCCTCTTGTCACAACCTCGGCTTTTACTTCTACCTATGTGTGTTGTTCTTTCATGATTTTCGACAACATTCGCTTCATATTGTTGGGTTATACCATGTTCTTTCTTCTTAGTCACTTCATTTAGTAGGCTGTTAGGAATCGAGTCTAATGTCATCTTTCCTTCTGGGACTGAGTTGTTGAGCGTGACCACCAAAGTATCCTGACTCTCTGGAAACGAGTTGAGTAGCAAAAGTGCTTGCAACTCATCATCAATCATCATATCAATCTTTGTCAGCTGATTGACGATCCCCTTGTATGTATTCAGGTGCCCAATCATGTTTTTTTGTCCTTATAGTCTAGCTTCACAAGTCGGTGCACCAAGTGTGCTTTGTTGCATGGCGTCTTCTTCTGAATCAGAGATTCCAGCTTCATCCACAGCTCATATAGGTCGACACGTGCTCAGACAAGCTCTTATGAATGTACTTGCGTATCATAGCGACCGCCTTCCGATTAAGGAGATCCCATTTTTTATCGCTTTAATCTTCTGCTTGTTTGTGCTCATAATGAGTTCTATAAATCCTTGCAATAAAGATGATCATCCATCATGAGTTTTCAATATGAGTAGTTCTCTGCGGTGAGTTTGAACATGTTGCCATCATGTGCTACGACACCCTCTATCTTTGACCTCATAGAGCCCTTGATCTAAGAGCTCTAATACCATTATTGTGTCTCGGAGCCCATCAGTCTTCAACTCGGCCTTGATATCAAGTAGCTCAGCCTTCTTCAGGTCAACTTGCGGAAGGATTGATGAACAGTGAATCGAAAATTAAAATTAGAGATAAGGAAGGAATAGAGAACACCAAAACTTTTAATGTGGAAAACTTATTCGATGTGAAGAGTAAAAATCATGGAACCAAGTTCTGAAAACTTTCATTATGAATAATGAGATTACAAAAGATTCTGTCTGGATCACTAACCAAAGGATTTCACCCTCTAAAAGATGAAACTACTCACAAATGCTTCACACAAGTGTTTCTCTCTGTAAAGGGGATAAGAATCTTACTATACATGTTATTCATCTTCTTCAACAATGGTGTCGGGTTTCTTCCTCAAATGATCTTCGTCTTTGGCTTGCACTTTTCTCCTATGCATTTCTCTCTTTTCGCGTCTGTGTCTTTTTCTTTCTCTTCTTTCCAACGGCTCAACATTTAAGCATTTCTTATAAACAAAAGATTAAGACACCCATTAATTTGGGGCGAGTCGACCATAATGGGGCTACAGACCTAACGATATTGGTGTCTTATTCATGTTGGTAAAAAATGACATAAAAATTCCATGCCATTATATGTGTAAATCTGCAAAAACAATACTTTTTTTTAGTTAATTATATTTTTGACTTATGGGTTATTTGTGTCAATACACATATTATTCTTGTCATGTTGATTCACATATTAAACAATTTTATTTTTTATTTTTTTGATAAACCATAGATATCTTTCACAGGAAGCAATGTGGTGGGATTAGTTCTTTCAAAGATTTTTTTTTGTATTCACAAGGATTTAAATTCAAGACTTTATTTAAACAGAATAAAAAATATACCACTTGAACCAATTTCATTTGATATACATGTTAAACAAGGGGTAAAACACTTCTTCTACCACAACAGAAGAAGTTTTTTTACGGTTATAGACTCATCGCAATTTATGTCATATTAATTTTATTTTTATTTTTCAAAAAATATGGTGGGTCTCATGATTGTTTCTTTCTGCTGCAAAATCGGATCCTCTGCATTAACAGCAGAGGTATGCCCTTAAACAAGTCATATCAATATATAAAACATATAAATTTAATGTTAACGAATTATTTATGTCGTATCAATCCACTAAATAAATGAATCATGTTAAATGAATCATGTTGAAGTTGAATGTTTTAATATCGCTCTTTATTTGAATTGTAACCGAATTAAGTGTATTCAGATTCTTATTACGCCTCGACCCCACTTGAATACGACTAGCTGACATAAATTACCTACCACACGTAATTTTCATATTGAATACCAATAAAGTTTTGAAGCCATATAGATTTTTCTAGTTACTATACATCATTTCCCAAGTCAAATATTTCAGCTGGGAAGATAACCAGTACGAAAAGGAAGCACAACTAGTTAGTTTTTCCTCTTCCTTTTACCACCTAATATTTCACCAGGCTAGCATGTTTTTCAGGTAGCTTCTTTCGAGATGGACAAGCACAACTCAAAAGCTTAGATATAGTATATGTTGGATTTACAAATTGTAGAACCATTAGTAAATAGGATGAATCTATACATGCATTATATTTTCACTTCCTTCCACGTTCTATATACATAACTTGGATATAGTATTTATGTGAACAGAACTTTTACATAAATTAAATTAATGATCCTACAATTTGCTTCGTTTGATTTGAGGTGGTTTTTTTTTTTTTTTTTCTGAAGGGGGGCGGGGCGAGGTTGTTTCAGGTAACGGTAGTCTCACAACTGAAGCGTTATAATCATAATTAATACATCATAAATGCCCTCCAGACTCTGAAGATCTAAACCTTGGATGGCATAAGAATTTAACAGGCTGCTTAGGTTACTGTTTTATGGATCTACAAATGTGTCTTTATTTTCTGAAAAGGAAATGGATGAACAAAATTTTAAAATGATACTCAAAATAAAAAAAGCAGATACTATAAGTCTGTGTAGTTTTTTTATTTTATTTGAATACAATAATAAGAATTGAATCCTTAATCTAATATAAACTATCAAAACTCCTCACCATTAGATCAACTCCAGTGACTTTGTTGTAAGTTTCTCAACAAAAATGTACTATATCTTCATGAAGTAACTAAATTTAGAAGAAAAAAATAAAAGGAGAAAGAAAAGAAAGAACAATTCCAGATCCAGTTACATTTAATATTGAGAACCAACTAAACTAGGTTGCTGAACGGCTGTCAGCTGATATTAATCACTGATTTCTAACAGTAAATTCACAACTATCATGTAGCCCAAAAAAACATTAGTTAAATACAATTTTCTTATCGTATATAACAACAAAGATATTAAAATATTTTTATAATTTTATATGATCTTTTTCTTTATTTATTTTTTAAAAAAAAACGGTGATACAGTTTCAGAATATGTACCGGGAGGCGGGAAGTGGCCCGTGAGAGTGAGAATTTTTTTATCTTCTATTTTAATATTATCACGTCCTAAATTATTCATATTAGCTTAAATGATAATTTTATAATGTTTAAATACTAAATTAAAAAAAAAGCACAAATCATTTTAATTGCTCTTGCGTCATAATTCTAATTAGGGGTATTCGCGGTTTGGAGTGGATCAGTTTTGAAAGTAAAAATTACCTGATTTAATTCCTTCGGTTTAATCATGTAATCATTTATTCAGTTTGAATTTTTTTCAAATCCGATCCGATCCAGTCTAATTTTATTCAATTTGGATTAGATTGGATCGGTTTTCGGTTTTTTTGAAAAGCCTAAGATTTGTACGATAATTATTGTGCAAATAACATATCTTTTGTATGTATCTGCTTTGTAAAGTTTGTATGGTGATTATTGTGCAATCTAGAAGCATTATACAACAAAAAGTTAAATTATCATCTTTTACTTCCAATAAAAAAATTATAATATGATTGCGTGAGATACGAAGTAATCCAAATTTTCATCCTATAGAAGAGCTGTTGTACAACAATAGCCTATGTAATAAAAATATATTATGTATCTTACAAAAAAAAAGCATAACATAAATCAAGCACAACTCACTTTAGCTAACATGATGGGTTAATGGGTTTTGGATTTAAAATTTTGCTATATGATTTTTAGGCTATAATTGGAAGAAATCTTAAGTAGATAAATGATGAGATTGGAGAATTACAGAATCGATTTTTATCAACTCATCCAAAAATTCATCAAATTCAATTAAATTTTACTATTTTTTTCCGATTAATTTGGTTTTCAATTTTTAGATTCGGTCAATTTGAATCGATTGATTAACATCCTTCGTCCTAATCAATGAACACACACCAGGCTCATTTTTCAACTTTTCTTTTCGCACTAAAAAAAATAATTTTTCTTAAAAAGAAAATAAAAAATAATAACAGACGGTAAGAATTTTTAGTTTAGAAAAATAAAATAAAAGCGCACATAATTAATTGGGCTAAGATGCGCCAGCAGCGGCATCGCCACCATGCCCCCTCCTTCTCCTTCTCCATCTCCATCTTGTTGTTCTGTTTCAAACCCAAAACCCAAATCCTCGAACAATGGAAACTGCAAGCATTCTCCTTCCGCCACCGCCACTGCCACCCTCGACCTTCTGATCCTTGTGTTGGTCCTCTTCTCCGGTGCTTTCCTTCTCTCCTCGTATTTCTGGTACATTTTCAACTCCCTGTCCCTCCTCCTCGCTCAATCCCAATTCCAATTCCATTTCCCGATCTGTTCTTGCCTCTTAGGGTTCTTCATCTTCTTCTTGGCCGCCTCCCTTCTTGTGTGCTGCGGGGGCCGATCTCGCAAGTGCCGCGTCCCTGGTTGCAAGGGCCTCAAGAAAGCCATGGAGTTCGATTTGCAATTGCAGACTGAAGATATTTTGAGGTCTGGTTGTGGTTCCGATGAGATTGATAAGCTTCCATGGAAGGGTGGGAGCGAGAGTAACCCTGATTATGAGTGCCTACGTTCTGAGCTCCGGAAGATGGCTCCCACCAACGGCCGTGCCATTTTGCTCTTCCGAGCACGCTGTGGTTGCCCCATTGCCAAGCTCGAGGGTTGGGGTCTCAAGAAGGGAAAGCGCCACATCAAGTGTGTCTTCTTTTCATCACTTGTCTCATTCTATTCTTATATCTGTTACTCATTTATCATTGCTTGTCTCGTGCCTTTTTTTTTATTCCTGTAAGTAATGTCTTGTGTCTTGCAATTATTAACGTAAGCCCAGGGAAAGATAAGTTATCAGTAAGAATATGCAGTCTTTTCTGCAAGATCACCTGTGAATGTGATTCTCTTATATGAGTTTTTTATGATTACTTTTCCTCACTACTTGTCTTTTCTCCATACTCTTTTGTCCTGAGCTTCGTTTTTATGCCCCTTCCTGTGAATTTAGCTTGTCACGGAGTCTGAGAGTCATGTTATTATGTTATGTTGATATCATGGCCTGAAAGTTTTATCAACTTTTAAGCGGAAGGTAATAAACTGATAATCTAAAATTTTGATGAAGTTGCAAATCTATTGTGGACTTGAAAAATAAATCTTGTGGGAATATTGAATAGCACACATAACAAGTATAATTGGGGGTTGGTGAATGCTAACTGCTATTTCTATGCTTCATATTGCTAAAAACGAGGAATGCAGTTGCTGGTTGGTGTGTACTAAAGTGTATGGTTTCAGTTATGTTCCTTATGAGCTCTGAATTTTTTTGAATGGACACTATGAAAGCTTTTTGGAATAACAGTTGGGCTTAGACTTGAATGACATGCTCACATGCACTTTTGGTTCTAAGTGGAATGAATGTTCTTAATCCAAACAATTCTTATAATATGGTATTTGAGTCTTTGGTACATATATGTAAAAGAAAGAATTACTTGCATATAAATTTTTGTAGGTTCACGCTTTTATTGAACTAGACTATACTTTTTCATAGTTATTAATCACAGTTAGTGTCAACCCCAAAATCGCTATAGTGGTATAGCCACTATAGTAAAGAAAACGTAGGTTGAGGTGTTATGTGGCGGAGCCACACTAGAAAACTGCAAAATGGACGAGGCAAAAAGGCGAGTGGGCCGAGAGAAAACGGAGGCTCAGGTGTTATGTGGTGGAGCCTTGCTGGAAAACCACAAATCGGAGGAGACAAAAAGGCAAGTGCTCCAAGAGAAAACAAAGGCAAGGAGCCAATCTCAAGAGACAGAAGTGGGTTGAAGGGGAGAGTAAACTATTAGCAGCTTGCCAGAAAATGACCAGAAGTGTGATGGGCTTGCTGAAAAGTGAATCGAGAGGCAGGAATCTAGAGTCAGTTGAGAGAGAAACAGGATTTGAGAGATAGGATTCGAAACTTTGAAGGTAACATTATTAGAGAAAGGGTTAGAACTTAGAAGTAGAGAATACCCACTTGATATGCATATGGGACACCCATTACGCCAGAGAAAATTTGGGATTTGACCTCCTTTCACCATAGAGATGCGATTGAGCCACAATTTGGGCCTTGATTGCGGCTGCTACGGTAATTATAGTGTTGTTTTGCGGATATAGTGGCTGGGGTTGCTATCACCCACATCTATAGTACAATTGCGCATGACAGCGGCAGGATTAAAACCTAGTACTTTTTAACAAAACAGATATCCTCTACCGGATTAATGCAATGTTCACCAATTTCTTAGCATAAATAAAACTTATAGTTCATTTAAAATCTTGAATGCAAACAATTGCAGTAAAAAATTGAAATATCGATAGACTTGAGCATAAACATAAACCACATAAAATGGAAACATCACAGGGAGACATATAATTATTTAACTAAAATATCAGTGATAAATTTTAATAACTATTTTGCCTGATCCTTTAAAAATACATATAAAATGAAAACCCAGTAGAAATGATAAAATAATTATGGTCTAATTATTATTTAAAAATTATAATCATTTAATGTCTCTGTGTTTACTAATTTGATTGTCAGATGAGGAACATTTTTGGTTGGATTGCACATTAATTAATCGGTAATTATACCAACAGGCTTCTGGTTGGGAGCACTTTAGTTATGGGCATTACCTATGTAGCTTAGGTGGGTTGCAAAGAAGGCCACTTCTTATACTGCAGCCTCTGAAGAAAGTAAAATGTTGTTATTTCAAACCTGCTTAGCTTTTCTGAAATGTTGGTTTGTGATTGTCTCACCATGTTGAATATTTTTTTTTTCTCTGATGAAAAAAGTGCTGGTGACCCCAGATTTTGTGACTTCGAGAGTTAGTAAGAAATGAAATTTGCTTTTAACCTGAAGTACGAGCTTTCAACTGTGTTTCCTTGTTTCAACATTTTATAACAACCAGAGGAAAAGAAAATTTAGAAGAAGAGAGGAGAGAAAGAAGGGTAGTGAGAGAGAAGAGAGAGAAAATGAGAGGGAAAAGTGATATAATTGCTCAATGCTCATTCAGGAAACCACTGGGCTACATAACCAACAATGATTTTGTTACGCTTTTGAAATTCAAATTGCAGTCCTAATTAAAATAGTAGAAAAATTATAATTGCAATAATAGCCTTCAAGTAACAATTCAGCCCATTACATAATCCTGAAAGTGAGTGGGCTGCCTAATGGCCTTTTGCTTCTCACATCTCGTCCCAAGCTCTCTAGTGCGCTCGACCTGATAGTGTTTTATGAACCAAGCCTTGTGTTGATAATGATATAATGGACTGTTACCTCTTCTTACTTTCTTACCTTCATATAATGAACCAGGCCTTGCCTATATATATGCATAAATTTTATATTTATCCTTTTTTCTCAATATATTCTTACCTTTATTTTAGGGTCATCTACCACCGACCTCAACTAGTTTGAGATAAAGGTGTTGTTGATGTTGATGTACCTCTTCTTGCCTTCACTGTCTCAATTTTTTGCAGTTCATTTTTCTGTGGATTTTGTTGGTGGATATCTGAATTGTCATGTGATTTTATAGTTTCTCTGATATTCTTCCGTAGTTTAAATTTCTCTTAACTCAACACACTAAAATTAAGGGCATCGCGCATTTACGTAGATAAGGAAAATTATCCATAGCTGTGATGACTTATTTCAGAAGTGATTAACCGTCCATCCACTTGAATGAAACTTACTGATACTAATTGTGAGCTTCCAATTTTGATGCGTCAATAACACATTGATTTTGATGATTAGCAGGTCCCTACACAATGCGAGTCTTAATGGAAGAGGGGATCATCGCTAATTGACTCTGGTGTTTACACCATGGGCGTCTCATTTATATCATTACCATCTCAATGTTCACCTTTTACTGGAGGACTTCTGATCAGAACCATTTTTTAAAGGGAGAAAAAATATAATCTGATATTAGCCATCCTTCCTTATATGTCTGAAATGTCTGAACTATCTTGGGAGTCTCTGTCAACTTTGGAAGGATCATACAAAATTTACTGCAATAAATATTTGATTCGTCGTTGACCCATTTCATTAGTTATATTTGTCCAAAAATTGCTGGTTCTATAGTTCCTTAAATTATTCCACCCAATTTACTTTCATTATGGATTGGAATTGTCTTTCAGGTTATGAATGGAAAATGAAACGGTAGATGAGGATATGAATGTAAACTAGTTGTTCATGCCTTCATGGTGTGAATGTACAATGTTGCATTACACTCGTATATTAAGCTGCAGTGTGGGTGGGTACCATGTACGGCAGCTCTCCCTTTGGTTGGGTCTGTGGATCTTGGATACATCCCTGAATCCATATGAATGTTTACTCCAATTTTGACAATAAAATAAAATAAAATATATTGACTTGGTCCAACCATACAAAATTGTGTAGAATAGGGTGAACAGATTGACCTGGGAATTCAATTATACAGATATCTCGGGGGAGTGTAGATGCATGATGAGTTTTGTCATGAAGAGCTTTGCTAGTCTTTGGAGGAAATTATGAAGGTACCAAATTCTGATGTGAAGAGTTTTACTATAGCGTGTTTGTAGAGGCTTACATCCTACCCGTTTACGCAAACCAAAGAAGGGGATTGAAGTTGATGACGGATGTTATTGCTGTATGCTACTTTTTTTTTGTTGGTATAAACCATGTATGGTTGAGAATATTGATCACTTGATGTTGGATTGCCGATTCGTGAAGGAAGTTGTATATAACACGTTGTAAGGCCTATTAACAGACAGTAATGGGGGAACATGACTGAGTCATACGAACATCATTGCGCATAGCTTAAACCAATGACCAACTAGTAACTTTGGGCATGATATGGTATAGCGTCTAGGTGTAGAGAAATTTGGTATGAAAAGAAAAGCCAATTCTAACTGTAATCAAGTTTACCACAATGCTTGTACCCGAAAAAAAAAAGTACCATAATGATCGGCTAAACTTGGGAGTCTTTTTTTGAGTATCAAGAGTTGGGTTTGATATTGGAGCACAATCAACCTCTTCAAAGTACATGTTGCGGTTTTTACTGCGGATCGTGCTTTTGGTGTGGGGTTGGTGACTATAAGGAACTAGAAGGGAAGCTTCATGGCAGGAAAATCCAACAAATAGTAGGGTCACGGATGCAGGATGCTCACATGACATATTGACATGAGTTTGGTGTTTGGTTTTGCTTAGGAGATGGGCTTCTTTCTTTTTTTCTTTCTTTTTTTTAGGTAACGTAAATAATATCTACACAAGCATTAAGGAAGTCGACGAGGACTTTTCATGCAATGGCTTCATTCTTAGGGACATTTCTCTTTATGTTTCTTGGTATGATAGTTTTAATTGTGATTTTATTTCTCCTAGTTGTAATGATATGATGTATTTTGTGGGTAATCATGCAAGAATGTTAGCCGGGTGTTTGATTAGAGGATCTCCAACTTCTGATATATATCTTGATCATGGTTATATTTATAATGTTTTTTGTTTATAAACTAAAATAAATACTATACGTAGTACATATTACTAGAACATGTACTAACTGTAGTATATAGTGTAGTTTATAAGGATTTATAAACAAAATGGTTATAAATATAACCTACCTCATTTTTCTTTTAGATATTGATGTTTTGCTTGATAAAGTTATCATTCATCTTTTAACAAAAAACAAAAAATTGATATATTTGAATGTTGTGGGTTTCTTTAGCATCCATTGTTTTTATGGTATTCTTGATAATTAGTGATTAATATTTTGTTATATATTTTACTTAATTGAATTACAAAAATAATAACTTGTTTTTTCTTTAATAAATCTTGTTGTAAATATGATTATTGGTCATATATACAAAATTAAGAAACAGTTTTAAAATTCAAAATTAAATGTCTAAAAATACAGATGCAATCAAATGAATATATATATATATATATATATATATATATATATATATATATATATATATATATATGAAAAAAATATTTCTATAGCCACTTTAGATAAGGTTATCTACAACAATCCAAAAATTACATTGTTTTGATTAATGAAAGGTGTTTCTGTAATTTTAGGTGAATTAATTAAGAGTGTTTCAGTAAAATGTATATGATAAAAAAAAAAAATTACGAAAATATCATTCACTAATTCACCTAAAATTACAGAAACATTATTTATTAATCAAAATGACGTAATTTTTGGGTAACTGTAGATAACCTTATCTAAAATGGTTGTACAAATGTTTACCCCTATATATATAGGGCTTATCGTTTCTAAAGGTGCTTGAGATGATTTTATCTCCGGCTACTAAATCATAACCGTACAAAGATGGATCAATAGTGATAAAGAAAGAGAGAAAAAAAAGGAATCATAACCATTCAAAGGTGAATCAATTAATATAAGAAAACAAATAAACAACACGACGTAGTTTTGGGTGGCCGGAGATAAACTTATCTCAAGTTGTCGGAAAAATATTTTTTCCCCATATATATAAATATATATATATATATATATATATATATAGGGCGTTTGTTTTCTTCTGTTGCGGATGATAACCCATTTTCCTGCAGATACATAAATCCATGGTCCCACCATTTTTTTTTTCAAAAAAACAAACCAAAAAAAATGGCACAAATTTCGATCTATGAGTAGGAATGAAAATTTCTTTTTCTACAACAGTAGATAATGTTTTCCCATATATATATATATATCTTGATCTCTAATACAAGGTAACAAGGCAGAAAAATCTTACGAGATTAAATATTTTATATTTAGTAAAAGATGAATCTGCATTTTCATGTAAATCAAACTCTATGGACGCCTGCAATTTTGAGTGGTTATCAGTTATCAACCCCAGTTTACTTAGGTATTTGGGTGTACTCTTACATGCCATATTGGTTGAATAGGATATCTTTGTAAGAATCAAATTGAAAAATACGTGTATTTAGAACACCAAAAATATTGAGATTGATCGCAGGATGTAATTAGGCTAGGTTAGGTTAGACTTTGACTTAAATAGGTCATGTCTGTGTAAAAAATATTGGGTATAGTCTGGCCTGTTAGCTTGTGTAGACCTCACATTACATGTTTGGCCTGACCTATATTTAAAAAATAAAAGAATTGGCCTAAACCTATTAACTTGTTTAAGCTTGTTAAATATTCAACAAGCTAGTAAAAGAATAACTAAAATAATATTATTTTATTATTCAAAATCATTGAAATAATAATTTTATTTATTTTCTTTAAATAAATAATATAATATAGGCCGGCCTATAGATTTATAGGCCCGACATGTATAAAAAAGTCTATGGCCTATTTTTTAAATAGGTTTATTTAAAAGTCTAGACCTATTCTATTTTACTATTTGTAATGAGCCAAGTCTGACCTAATATAGACTAGGCCGTAGGCCGGCCTAGCCCATTTACACCCCAAATCGCATGCATGTTTTAATCATAATTCTACTGAACAAATTTTTTAAATAACCAGTTCTTCGTTTCCAAATATAAGTCATTATTGGGACATTGGATAAAGCAGAAATATTTTTTTGTTCAAGAATCATTATTATCAAGAATATATTGGGAAAGTAAATTTTTCTGAAATGTGACCAAAATATTATTTGGTAGGTAAAAATATTAATGGAAATATTAGCTCAAGTTTACTGATTTTATATTTGGTTAATGGAATAGGATATTGTAACAACCAAGTATAGTTACTACTAATCAATTTCACCGTTAGATTGGTTATTTTGATCCGACGGTTCAGATTTGATACTTATATATCCCCTTCTCTCTCCCTTTCTCTCTCTTCCCCCTCTGTCTATACTCTCTGCACATAGTCGCCGCAACTGCCCATCGTCGCCTCCGCTGAGCCGCTGCCCATCACCACTGTGTCGCCCCTGCCGCTGCCCTTTCCACTCTACCGCCTCGTCGCTGCAGTTAATCACTCGAGTCATGGGGCATTATTAATCACTGCAGAAAATCACTGTAGTTTGAAGAATTATTAATCACTCAAGTCATAGAGTAGGAAAACACAAGAAACATACAGTTTTGACCTTCAGCCTCCATCGGCAAAATCAAATAAACCCTAATTTATTAAAAAAGTCATGATTTTTATATTAAAATCAAATAACCTATATTCCTGTTCAAATATTCATATCATGGTGGAAATAGTTCTCCCAATTTTTTTTTTATTTGAATGAACAATATAAATATTTTTAAAAAATATATAAAAATAAATACTAAATACTTACACATTTCATTTAATATTTTTATTATTATTTCTGACCCAAGTTAACAATATATATATACATATAAGAGTATTAGAAACAATGTTATTAAACTCGGCCGGTCATTGATTCGGTTGAGAATCTTGAGATACTGGTTCAATCATATAATATATGTAAATCTATAATTTATATTAAAATATAAATATACTTAAATACCTGTAAAAAAAGATACCAATTTCAAATACCATAATATGAAAAAGTAATAAATTACACATCATTGTCCAACAAAAGATCAATCAAACATATAATACTTGTGATACTAGTGTTTCAGGTTCAGTAGACGACATATCTCTAACTATAGATCAAATAAAAAATTCTTGCATATTGCATAATCAAGATAATATTAATGTTGGTAAGTACATAATATATATAAGTTAATAAGCTACAGATCACTCAAATATTTCAAAAGAAAACAAATAATGTGTGTGTGAGAGTGACAAAAAGAATGACATCAATTAATGAAAACAAACTATTTTCTTTTTAATTTATGAATCGGGTTGGGTCACTAGTTGAACTGATCGGATTATCGGTTTTTACAAAAATCGACTGAATCACACCGATTCTATAATACTGCCGATTCAATATAAAATTCGGATCAATTATATAATTGATTCATCGATTTCTGTGTTGACCCAGTTCAACCGATTTTTATAACATTAATTAGAAATTTCATAGATGAATCCTTCTTAATTGTATATTTAAGAAAGGCAAGTTTTGGATTACTTCTGGTCACAGTGAACTTACACTCCTCTTGAGTAATTCTATCCAACGAATAAATCTATTATAATTTATTTTATGATATGTGGATAAAATATTTGAAAAGAGAATAAATTAAATGATTTCTGATCAAATGACATAATATTTAAAATAAATGTGAGTAACCCTGAATCTTCGTTATTATGGTAGCATTAAAGATTTATTCTTATCCAACGCCTAACAAGTAGGAGAATTTTTCGGTGTTTCAAGAGTACATGGTCCCAAAATAATAGAAAAAAGTGGAGTATGAACGAAAATAAATATAAAGACAAAAATAATGTAAAAATATTATTTTTTATTATATTTATTAAAAGAACCACCGAATACTCAGTGATGCTGGAGTAAAATATTTCCAACAAGTAGATTGAAGCCATCGTCTGTAACCTAATTGCATTGTCCCACGATGAAACTTCATTCATATGATAATTGTTTGCAGTCCGGATTGGATCGGTTTTTGAAGCAAAAATCATCTGATCTAATTCCTTTGATTTGATCATGTAATCATCTATTCTGTTTAGATTTTTTTTCAAATCCGTTTGGATTGAATCGGTTTTTGGTTTTTAAAAATCCTAAAGTTTATTTCATAATTATTGTGCAAATAATATCTTTTGTATATATTGACTTTGTAATTTATTTATTTTTTAAATACAAAAGCATCTGTAAATGATAATATAGTTTTTTTTTGGTAATGAGATATAAAGCTCTATATAGATGAAATTTTGTTGATGAAATATGACTAGGTTTTTTTTCTTGGGTTTAGTTGATAGGTTAATGGGTTGAGTTTAAAAATTTTTGGGTTATGATTGAGAAAATGCCCAAATAGGTATAGGAGAATTAATATATTGGATCGGTTTTCATCAACTAATCCTAAAACCGAACCAATCTAATTAAAATTTGCGATTTTTTTTCAGTTTCCGATTTTTCAATTTTCAATTTATTCGATTTTCGATTCGGTGGAATCGATTGATGATCATCCTTGTGATAATGTACTTTTTCTTCTCAATTTTTACACTTCCTGTAGTATATATACACGCCTTCACACGTGTCACAATTACTACGCTAACGTTTGAGGAGAGAAATATCCGTACAGAGATCACCATACAAAATAGAAGTATAACCGGTTCGCATGGAGAGTATTTTCACTGCTCGTCGCACTGGCTACTACTCCCATTTAAAATTTGACACACATATTGTGATAAATTAAATATTTTCGGAATATATGGGCAAAGAATAGAATTTTTTTTCTCTTCTCATAATTAAATATATCAACACTGATATTTTGTTTCCATTGAAAGAATGCGTTGAGTATTAAGTGTGAGGGGATTATTTAAAATATTTTGTATCGGATGAGAATTGCAAAGCACATTCTAATTCTCACCAAGTCCCAAAAAAAAAAAAAACTCTTGCCGTAAGTAACACATACAATCAAATCAAATAATCCTCTAAAAAAAAGGTATGCACAAGATTTCTTTAGCCAACCACATCCTTGCTGGCTTAATTAATTTAATTCCCAAAAAAAATTGTATCGGATGAGTATTTAAAATGTTTTGTATCGGATGAGAATTGCAAAGCACATTCTAATTTTCACCAAATCCTTAAAAAAAAAATTATGAAAGGGGTATAAATGAACTAGGCCGATTTACAGGAGCCTACGGCTAATGTTTTTATTTTTTAAATATAGATCAGACCAGACTTATAATTCGAATCTACACACAAGCTAATAGATTAGGTCAATCCTAAATTTTTTAAAACAGCCCTGACTAATTTAAGCCAAAGTTTAGCTTGCCCTATTTACACACCTAGTAGTAAGTAACACATACAATCAAATCAAATCAAATAATCCTCTAAAAAAAAAATTACCCACATGCACAAGATTCCTTTACCCAACCACATCATTGCTGGCTTAATTAATTTAATTCCTACTATATAGTTTCATCACTCTCTACATTTCCATGTCAATTTGAGAAAAGATTTTCCGCACGTGAATAAAGCTTTTGGTTTTGTCTAGTATGTTTCTGTTTTGGGACTGAACACGTCGTAGGACTCTTCATCCTCATTCCCTAAGGAAAAATAATCCACCTTCTTCTCACCATAAAGTTTGACCAAAACCAAGTAGAAAGAAACAGCGAAAATGGTGACTGCGATGAGGAACCAGCTGAATTGAATGTTCACAAGTGAAATAGCACGGTGAAGGGCTTCATGGGTAGAGCACCTCACCACCTTGCGACCATCCTCATCGTTCATGAAACAACCTTTGGGTATGAGCCCAGGTGTCCAAAGCATGAAGCCCATATGTATAAGCCATAACCCTTGGAAGAATATGCTTATGGAACGCACGAAGTTGACCAAGAAGCTCTTGGGGAATCCAATTCCAATGAGGGTAGTAGAGAGTGAAACAAGGACCAAAACCTGTAGAAGAAGGTGGTATTGGCCTTCTGGGCCCATGTGATCCGCAGAATGGAGATGGAAAAGAAGAAGTTGTTGACCAAAAGCTATGGCTCCTAGCAACTGGGTTAGTCCGTGTTGAGCTTGCTTGTGGATTCTGTCGAGGATGATGGCAAAGGCTGCGTAGAGGAAGAAGGTCATGGATATGGAAGAGTGTTCAAAGTTGTGGAGATGGTTGGAGGGAATGGTTCCATCTGCGTCCAAAGGTTGGTGTCGGTCTGGACCTATGAAGAGTTCCATGGCTATGGAGGCTGTGGAGCCTGCCATGATGAGAAGAAGCTCTAAATATCTGAACTTGGGAGTGTGGAACCATGGTGGAGCGGTGTAGGACTTGGGGTTAAGAGCATGGAGCTTGATGTGGTTGAAGAGGTGCCACAAACCAATGAGCAAGAATCCAAAACCTGGAGCTACATGTCCCACCAGAGTGCCCATTATAATTAACTAGCAGGTCTCGTGGAGAGTGTAGTTTTGGAGAAGAGTTGAAAGGGAAAATATGTTGGTGATGAGGCAGAAAGAGAAGAGCAGAAAGGGTGGTTTTTAAGAGGGAAAGTTAATAAAAATGTGGCGTTTGTTGGACTCAAGTTTTGGATTACTTCACGTACGTCACAGTGCACTTTCACTCCTCTGAGTTGTCAACTTTCCTCTGAAGTAAATTCTATCCAACACCTAACAAGTAAATTGAAGCCATCGTCTGTAACCTCCATGAAACTTCATTCATATGATAATGTACTCTTTATTTTTTCTTCTTCAATTTTTACACTTCCTATAGTATACACGCCTTCACACGTGTCACAATTACTACGCTATCGTCTGAAGAGAGAAATATTCGTACAGAGATCACCATACTAAGTAGAAGTGTAATTAACCAGTTCGCGTGGAGAGTATTTGTAGTGCTCGTCGCATCTATTAATATGGATAAATTATAGATTGTATATTCTCGAAAATATATTGGCAAAGAATCAAAATTATTTTTTCCCCTTAATTCATGTTCTCCATTTTTTTTTTACTCGGAAATTCGCGGTACCATGAATAAGCCACGCGTGACTCTTTTGAAGATCAGTACTTGTTTAATGTTCTATAATCTGGATGCTGTTTAAAAAATGTCATTAAAATAAAAAAATGTTGTGTAGCTGACGAAGAAAGAACAACTGAAATGTACACACTAACTGGTCATGGAAACTTGAAAGTTAAGATTACTAAAAGGAAAATGTTTCATCTTTTCAAATGATATAAGTTGTGTCATTTTACTTCTACAAAAAAAGTGGGATTCACTCTTTGTTTTTCTTTTTGTCCACTCTTCCTCCCCTGATATATCTCTTTCTCTCCCTTAAAATAATATAATTTTATATCTTTTAAAATAACACATTTTTTCCATACTAAAGTGTACACGTCATTTACATTTTTTTCCCCGAAAACTGCGAATTGTTGATTTTATAAGGATTATGTATTTAAAAATTGCAACACCAAAACTAAATGATGGTAGCTCAATTGAATCATGAAAGTTGAGCAGCTGAGAATGAGAATATGTGTTCTATCCTAGCCTCTTCAATATCATTTTTGGAAGGACTTTAAAGTCATAATCTTAAATTTAGGGAAAAGTATTTGTCCTTTTAAATGATATAATTTACATCATTTCACTCTAACAAAGAGATGAGACCCACGCCTTTATTTTTTTTGTCCACTCTCTCTTCTTCTTTATCTATCTCTTTCTCTCACTTAAAATGACACAATTTTACATCTTTTAAAATGACACACACTATACCCATAAAATTATCTCTCCCCGAAGATATTTATGGTTTATCTAAAAAAAAAAAATTGCAACAGCGGAGAAAATTCGAGGTGTTGGTACTTGATACTTTTTGTTTCCTTTATATCTTCTTTCTTGGATAAGGTTATGTTATATCTTACTTTGGTTAGTTTGTTATAGTATTGGCTTAATTTTCTTATTACAAATGCAATTTGTGTTTTTCATCGTGTCCAAGTAACACTGATCGATCATCAGCCACGCAATACAACATCACCCAGCACTAAGGGATCTGAATTCTTACTTCTTTTTTGTCACGTTCATAATAATTTAATAATATTATCAATTTATTTTGTCAATTTCATTTATTTTATGAAAAAAGTGTGTCGTTTTAAAGTACGTATCATTTTAAATAAGAGAAATAAACAAAGAGGTAGGATACTTTGATACCAGTATCAAATTTAAAATTTGACACCTCATCTGATAGTCGTTGGATCCAAAAGGATCAATGGTGTCACATGCTTACAAATCAGAGTCGTTGATCTTTTTTGATCTAACAACTCTCAAATGAAGTGTCAAATTTCAAATTTGACACTGGTATCAAAGTATCCTACCTCGTAAACAAATTATGAGAGAGAAGGGACAAAAAAAATAAAGGTGTAATCACTTTTTTGTAAGCGTGAAATAACACAACTTGGGTCAATTAAAAAGACAAATACTTGTATTAAAAAAAAAAAAGACAAATACTTTTTCCATATTTTACTTAAGGGAAAAGTGTTTGTCATTTTAAATGACATAAAGTTATGTCATTTTAAGAGAGAGATAGACATAGAATAAATTTTTTATTTAAATTTTAAATTAAAAAAAACCACCAACTTTCTCTCTCCTATGATTTTCATTTTTTGTGTCTATCTTTCTCCTAAAATGACATAACTTATGTCATTTAAAATGACAAACACCAAACCCTTTTATTTAATTATGGTCTTTCATCCAATTAAGTACTGTTTCCTGACTTAATATGATCTCTTACAATATATTTTTCCTTTCAATTTAAAAATTAGTTCATAAATTTAAGAACTACATACACAACAATTATATATATAAAGAGGGAGGGAAATATTTCTGTTGTGAGAGAGGAGATATAACCCGAAAACAACTTCATTTTAAAATTTAGAATAAAAGCAAAAGATATTTCAAAAAATATTTACATTCCTTTTTTATTATAAAATTTATTAAAATACCTTTTATTTTTAATCTTTAGCCCAAAAACAATATTATTATTTTTTTTGGAAATATTCCAATCGGTTCATTGCTTCGCAACTAATCCGATTCGGGGCGGGTCCAGGATTAAGGCTTTAAACCCCTCCCAAAGGTGGTACTGGAGAGATTCGAACACATGCTCCCACCTTCACCTGCTTAGCTCCCACGCAAAAAAAAAAAAATATATATATATATATATATATATATATTATTTTAGAGTTACAGAAAATAACTTTATCTTCTATGATACCAAAAATGTTATATCCATGAAGCCAGCAAATCAAGTGCTAATGCAATTTACCTCCCATTCAAAACAGAGAGGGAGATGGTGCTATAAAAATTATTGTGTATACATTATTTATGGCTGCTCCACATTAACGGAGTCCTTATAAGAGAAAGTAACTTGGCCGTTTTGGCAACCATAAAAAATATTACATGCCTTCGAACTACAGAATGAAAAATAATATACAAGTGCGCTGATTGAAGTGAAGATGCCAGCTAGGAATCACTTATATTGTGTAGACTAAGCACGTTCAAAAATTTTGATGCCCAATTCAATATCCTCATAATACTTGAAGCTGTGACGGAACAATCATATGATTAGAAGTCCTCATCAAGTTTGAAAACAAAGTTCTTCTCAGCATCTTGGAGGCTTGACATCACAGATGCCTTCTGATAATCACCAACCCTTCTCTCAAAAAAGTTTGCCTTTCCTCTGCTCAATCAAGCGGCATATTAAGATCAACATCTCAAACTAATTAACAAGGGATAAGCCATTGCATGTAACACTTAAACAACCAAGAAAAGCCGGGAAACTTATGCGCATTTTTTCCTAAGATGTGTTTGCTCAGCCAAAAATTCATGAATACCAACATATCCAAAAGGTATGTTTGGCATTTAGTAAATGAGAATACAACCTAATAAGTGGCACCAAGTGTATGTTAAGGGATTATCAAATGAGAGCACATCCTAAAATGGTATAAACATGGAACACACTGAATACGGGTCAGACCTCAGAAGCTGAAGCTCATTAGTCAATTCAAATCAATATTTTTTCAAGAATGATAAAATAGAAATAATAGAATAAACCATCTCTATAGATACTCACTGCAAAGAAATAAACTCCATCCAATCAAAGGGATTTTCCACATTGTACTTTTTTTGGTACCCCAAGGCAACCTGAAAGGGTAACAAGAAAAGCGGTTAACCAAGCTTGAAGGGGGAAGGGGAGAGAATCAACTTCCCTGCCCATTTTACCCCGGCAAAATGAAATTTTTTAGGCTTTGTTTGGGAGTTTGGAGAGGAAGAGAAGGAAGGGAAAGAAAAATGAAGGGTATTCCCTTCCCCTTGTTTGGAAGTTATATTTACCCTCCCATACACCCCCAAATTGGGGGAACTTTGATTTTAAGGGTGAGAAGGATTTAGAGGGTTTTACAAAAATCTCACAAACAAGGGGAAGACATGAGTAAAACCTTCCCCTTCCCTCCTAATTTGGACTCCCAAACAAAGCCTTACTGTCTTACCAATAGCCTGTCAGCAACAAATTTTATGTACTGGCTCATGAGCGTTGAGTTCATACCAATCAACGCACAAGGAAGTGCCTCACACACAAACTCAGTTTCAATTTCAACTGCTTCATGTACAAGGTTATAAACCCGCTCAGAATCTAGTTGCTTCCGTAACAAGCTGCAGGCAATAGTTTGACCAATCATTTACCCCTAAAATTTTTACAAATCCTCCAAAACAAATATGTGAATATACTCCAGTACATCCATGCATCATCATTCTATTTATAATAGTGAATAAAAAAGTCAACACTACCTGTACAGAAGGCAAGCAAAATCACAATGAAGGCCCTCATCTCTAGAGATTAACTCATTTGAGAATGTCAAACCTGGCATCAATCCTCTCTTTTTAAGCCAAAATATGGCACAGAAGCTGAAAGCAAACCCCAATTAAAAAAAAAATCACAAAGAAAGTAGGACAAGACTCATTATAACTCGTGTTAAGAAACAAGAAAAAGCCTATAAGCTGACAAATACCTTCCTGAGAAAAATATTCCTTCAATACATGCAAAAGCAACAAGTCTCTCCGCAAATGAAGTGGAACTGTAGCCCGTGCATTACAAGAAGTATTAGAAAGCAATTCTATGTTACCTTTAAAGTAACACAAAAAAAGACCAGACTACGGCAAAAATAATAGAAGCTACAAAGTAAATACCCTGAAGGTTTATGATCACAATTCACAAAAAGATGGAGAAAATAGATATTACACATTGAAAAATTAATTTTTTTTTCAAATGATGAACTGCGTATATCCCCCTTAAATACTAAATTAAATGGATCCGCACAAAAGCCTGTATCCAGAAGTTTACAGTGAAAATTATAACCACAGAAGAGAATGGACCTAACAAGCAAATGTAGACTTCAAACTTCAATGGTTTGGCAGAAAAGTACCACTAAGGTAATTCAGTACATATTGCTCATCTACATATGTATTAATTCATGCTTAATTTCTAAACAGGGACATGAATTAAAGACTAGACAAAATAGTATGAATCAACAATATTCACAGCACGAGTACAATTACATTTTTTAACTTTTCCTTTCATTATCAAGTCAAGCATCCACAAAGTGGGGTTTCAAGTTTGAACTTTGAACCAATGGCCTCATTCTGATTCTCAACAGGAAAGTACACAACACAAACCCAAAGGTCATTGGCAGTACATTTCTAGAATATCCAGATTCCATGACATGAATGATTAACTTTCAAAGGACTCTTGTGTTAATTACAGTTGACAAACTCGAATTTCATCACAGGAAACAACCCTGCACAGCAAGGGTTATCTTCTTTCCTTTACTTTTTCTTTTGGTTTTTTTAAATCTGTTCTTGGTAGTAAAAAAAACAAATAGCAGAATATACTTTGGGGTGAGAGGCTGGCCCGTTTGGCCAGTCAATTTCTTTGGACAGGGCCAGGTTTTAAGTGGTGCGTGATTTTTAACAGACCTGTTTGACAGATTATTCAGAGTGCAATTAGGATTAACTGTCACCTATGAATCCAATTCAATGCCCACTCAGCCTTCCTCGCAACACAAGGAAGATTTTCAATTGCATTGAATAATCTATGTTTCTCTCTTGAATCTTTAATATATGTCTCCAATAGCAAGCTGTACATCTCTGACAAAAATAAAAACTCAAATCAGGCAGGAAGCAGATATTCTGCTAAGGAAGAGGGGAAAACATCAACTACAAAGCCATACCAGAATGAATATTCTCCATTGCTATCTGAAACCCATAGAATGCTCGAGCCTGCAAATAATTGTAGTCTGATGGTTAAATGCTAAACTATAAGTAAACACATGAAATGCTGGCAACAAATAAATAGCAACCATAGAGAAAAGAAAATAAAAAAAAATAAAAAAAATTGAAGAAGGAAGAAGCAAAAAGATGTCCACCGTGTTTTAAGTGTGAAAAGAATTTTTTTGTTCAAAAAAATAAAAACCACCTCACATTTAAAGAACACGTTATGAAAATATAAAAGGAAAGTTATGTTATATCAAAGCTACTACGAAAGCAAGTCATAAATATAAGAACTACTGGATAACTTAACTCTAACAAGCATCAAAGCAAGTCAGTAGTATGTGAACAGAATAAAGCGGTCATAAATATAAGAACTACTGGATAACTTGAAGGCAGAGTTACTGAAACAAGCATTAGCAGAATGCGCAAAACACAAGCTTAAAACAGTACCTCAGGAATTTGAACATCGTTGAGAAACCTTGCAGCCAAATTCTCCAAGACAATTCCATCAGATGCAGCGAAAAAAGCGAGGACATGTGTTATAAAGTGCTTCTCAGAGACAGACAAGGTTTCCCAATGTTGTACGTCATAGGAGAGATCAACCTCTTCAGCTGTCAACCAATTTACAAGATATTAAAATTGAGTGATCAGATAGAGATTATGCTTTATCCAATCAATCACATGGTAACAATATGGCTCAATTATGGCTCTCTTAGAATGTTCAAATTAATGGTTGTAAATTCTGAATCACCTTTATACAGTATATGAATCCTGATTCAAATCAGGAAATTGAAATTTTTCCCAACCCAACTGCAAGTAGTTATCAGCAAACTTCTAGAAGAAACTATTTGTGTCTATCAAACCAAGCCACGGGTATATTGCCAAAATAATCAAGACACGAAAATAATATAGTTAAATAGGAGGTTATTTGGGGCATATATTAGCAGTCCCCATGAATAAATTTTCATTGCTTGTGCTCCAATCTCCTCTCCATTCTCCTCAAAAGAAAGAGGGAATTTATTTTTCACAAAACTCTGCAATAACATGTAGAGACAAAAAAAAAAAAAAATCTATTTCCACAATTGATACGTGTATTGTGATCTCGTCTCTTATTCAAGTTCCAAACAATGCTGGCAGAAAAAACCTCAGTCAAGAAATGCACCAAAAATATGCCCATAAAAGAAAAGATAGAGACAATAGGAATAAAAAAGAGAAAGATTTTTTATTTTTATTTTTAAAATTCTTCCTCGACCAGGCTCATTGAGGGGCAAAAAAGCAAATACAATCTAGAAAGGAACAAAATCCTCCTTTAAACTGAAGATGCAGAACAAGCAACATGTGTGACCCAAAGTACTCAGGTAACAGACAAAAAAAAAACATTTTTTTTCATTGGAACAGCAAATTATAGTATCGCCACTCACACTTTCCCAGGTTCCTAAAGAAAATCACGAAGATGAAGAATACAAAGGGGAAAAAAGAAGAAGAATGGAATGCCAAGTTCAATTCTTCGCCCCAAAGTTAAATGGAAATTGAAATACGCCCAGGGATTACTCAGATTTCCAATAATATCAGTACCCTCTTGAATTTCCATATTTAGAAGTCAAACGGCCCCACAAGGAGAGTAGAGGAAAGAAAGATAAGCGCATTCAGAGAAACTAGTGCAAAAAACATGGAATAGCAGAGGCCTTTGGAACAAATTCAGTAGGAAAGGAATGAACTTTATGTTGTAAATTGGAAAAACAAAAAGGGAAGATGAAGTACCGGTCCAGAAACTGGCTTCAGCCTTTTTGTACATCTCCCAAACTTGCCTGTGGCGAATGGGGAACATACAAAACCTCTGGGTTTGTTCCATTAGTATGGGTTCTTGTTCCAATTCCTGTTGTCCAAGTTCCCTTGCTTTGTGTGCTCCATTCTCCAAAGACCCCATTGTTATTGGATGGAAGGAATGATAAGAGTAAACCCTATAAAAAACCCTTATCAGGAAACACAACGATTCAAGTTGCTGACAGGGAAACCCGCGATAACGAATGAATGACGGTTAGTATGGGTGTAAATTGGTGAGTATGCTCAGTATTATATATAGTGAAATAGAAAATAACTTTCTTTTAGTGTTTGTCTTTTAAACTATAGAACTTCTATCATTTCATTCTCGTAAAGGCACGGGATTCACACCTTCTTTTTTTTTTTTTTTTTTTTTTTTTCCTATTCTCTCTCTTTTATGATTTATTTTTAAAATGATACAATTTTAAATTTTTTAAAATTATACACAATTTTCCCCTTTTTTATAGGTTTTAATGTTTTTACATTGAATGTAGATAAGTTATTTACATTTGCTCTCAAAACGACGTCGTTTTGGATTGAAAAATAAAAAAATTATAATGAAAAAGACTATTATAAACCTGAAATAAATTATAATTACAAAAATACTTTGATTTTCGTCTCAAAATGACGTTGTTTTGGACTCAATGTAGATAAGTTATCTACATTAACGGTAAAAAAAAAATCCTTTTTTATATGTCGGCTTATACATTTATAGATCGGCATTTATCTTATTATTTATTTTAATAAATTAATATTATTAATTATTAAATGTCTAATGACTTAAACAAGTTAATAGGTCTATACCAATATTTTTAATTTTTAAATAAAAACCATACCAAATTTATAATGAGTCTACATAAATCTAACAAATCAAGTCAAACTTAAAATATTGTAAGTTATTTAAACCAAGGGAAATTGTTTTTTCCAACTATAAGAGATAACTATCTCATGTTACAGAGGCATAAAAAGACGTGTCTGTAATTTTTTTTCTTTTTTCTTTTGGCTTGTGGGCTCCACATTTCTTATTAGTGTAGAAAAAAAACTTTTCTCGTATTAAATATAAGAGAAGTATTACCCTTAAACCAAATACCAACCAAACCCAACCCTAACATTATATTTTCTTAATTTTCACCCGTGTTTCCTTTTGTTTGTTTTGATGGTTCAAGGATGCTTGCTTTACGACCATTTTAGGTTTTACGGATATATATATATGGGTTTTACAAGAGTTATCTTGTAGAAAAAGTGATTGTGTAATGTTATAAAGATTCGTTTTGCGTGCCGTAATTTTCTTTTTTCTTCAAAAAGTGTGGGTTCCACAAAATGTTGTGTGTGTAAGAAAGTTTGTTGTGTCATGTTAAATGACAAATGCAAACCCCTATATACATATGAGTTTGTTTTTTCTAAAGTTACTTTAGATAACTTTATCTAATGTTCATCGAAACGACGTCGTTTTGGGGCAGAAATCATGATATTTTTGTAATTTTAATTTATTTCGGGGTTATAATAGTCTTTATCATTCTAATTTTTTAATTTTTCAACCCCAAAACGACGTCGTTTCGATGAACATTAGACAAAGTTATCTAAAGTAACATTAGATACTTTTTCTATATATATATATATATATATATATATATATATATATATATATATATATGAGTTATATTTATCTCATTTTACATGAGATAAGCAACTTTCCTACATACACAAAAAAAGATTGAGTCCCACCACTCTTTTTTCTCTCTCTTCTTAACTGTGGGTCTCACTTATAATTTTATTTCTACAATATGAGATAACTATCTTCCTACAACATAAGAAAAGTATTTTCATATATATATATATATATATATATATAGGGTTTGGTGTTTGTCATTTTCAATGACATAAATTATGTCATTTTAAGAGAGAGAGATAGACACAAGAAATGGAAATCATGTGAGAGAAAGTGAGTGATTTTTTTTTAATTTAAATTTTAAATAAGAAAATAACTTTTTGTGTCTATCTCTCTCTTAAAATGACATAATTTTATGTCATTTAAAATGACAAACACTTTTCCCATATATATATATATGGAGAAAATATTTCTTCTTTTAAATGACGTAACTTATGTCATTTCACTCTCATAAAGAGGTGGGACACATATCTTTATTTTTTTGTCCAGCCCCTCCCCCTTTACTATCTCTTTCTCTCACTTAAAATGACACAACTTTTTTTTTATGAAAAAAATGACACAACTTTACATCCTTTAAAATGATATATATTTTGTCATATATATATATATATATATAGATGCCTTTAATGTTATCTTAAAGATAAATAATTTATATTTCAAAATAGTATCATTTTGGGTTGAAAGATTAAAAAATTATAATTAGAAAGACTATTATAATCCTGAAATAAATTATAATTACAAAAATACCTTGATTTTTGCCCCAAAATGACGTCATTTTGAGTTTAATATAAATAACTTATCTACATGGATTGCAAAAAAAAAAACGAACCCTATATATATACATATAGGGAAAAATATTTCTACAACCACTTTAGATAAGGTTGTCTACAACTACCTTTTTTAACTAAGTATGACCGGTCATATATAAAAATTGTATTTTCTCTCTCCGCCACGTTAGCCGAAAGTGTCTGAGGAGAAAGAAAAAAAACAGTTTTACTGTTTGTATGACCGACCATACTTAGTTAAAAAGGGCTAGCTGTAGATAAACTTATCTAAAGTGGCTGTAGAAATACTTTTCCTATATATATATAGGGGAAGGATATTGTAACAACCAAGTTGTGTTACTACCAATCAATCTCACCGTTAGATCGATTATGTTGATCCAACGGTTATATTTATTTCCAACTTTGTATGGTTATGATTTCCCATATTTAAAGTGAAAGCATTAAATATGGAAAATCATAACCATACAAAGGTGGAAATAAATATAAAGTATTAAATTTGGAAAATCATGACCATACAAAGATGGAAATAAATATAACCGTTGAATCAACATAATCGATCTAACAGTGAGATTGATTGGTAGTAACATGGTAGTAACACAACTTGGTTGTTACAATATCATTCCCCATATATATATATATATATATATATATATATATATATATATATATATATATATATATATGGCTTATCATTTCTCAAGTTGCCGGAGATAACTTTATCTCCGGCTACTAAATCATAACCATACAAAGATGGATTAATGGTGATAAAGGAAGAGAGAGAAAAAGAGAATCATAACCGTTCAAAGGCGAATCAATTAATATAAGGAAATAAATAAACAAAACGACGTCGTTTTGAGGTGGACGGAGATAAACTTATCTCAAGTTGCCGGAGAAATATATATCAAGAAGCTTGAGAAATATATTTCTCACATATATATATATATATATATATGGGGAATGATCCTTTACAAATTTTTGCAAATTATACTATGTACTCCCAGAAGCACATAGTGTAACCTAGTGTTCTCCGAGAGTACATAGTATAGTTGTAAACAAAATATTTGTAAATATAACACTCCCATATATATATATATATATATATATATATATATATATATACACGAAAATGTAATTTTGCTTTCATTATAGAAAGAAAATTTTGCAGCAACATATAAAAAAGCATGATATGCTGGCGGATCTTAATTTTTTTTTTAAAAAATATAGGTGGGTCCCACTTTTTGTATTGTCGTTGCACCAAAAAAGTGATGCAATGACAACAGAAAAAGTGAAACCCACTTATTTTTTTTTAAACAAAAAAAATTAGGATCTGCCGACATATTCTACTTTTCTATGTTTTGCTACAAAATTTTCCTTATGCAACAATAACAGAAGTACATTTCTTTTATATATATATATATGGATAATCATTTATCCTACAATAGGACACCATTTGTGTCATGTTCCAGACACAGAAATACCATAGCCCCCATTGTATATAAAAAAGCAAAAAAAAATAAAAAATGGAGTGGATTCAACACTACATTTAGTCAGCAGGAAAGTGGAGATTCTTCTTGTTACATAACATGTATATTTCTTATTTTTTTCGTAATTATATATTCTGGGTTGGCCTACAGGGGCTGACGGGCTAGCCTATATCAGGCCGGGCTTAACTTATTACATATAGTCAAACAGAACAGGCACGAGCTTTTAAAGAAGCCTATTTAGAAAGTAAGTGATAAATTTTTTTTGTCTATAAGCCTACAGGCTGGCCTGTCATATTATTTATTTTAAATAAAATAAAATAATATTATTCATAGTAGTACCTAATGTTGATAGTTCAATTGGTGCATGTGAGCTAAGTAGGTGGTGGAAGGACCTATGTTTGTTCTCTCACCAATACTATCTTTGAGAGTTGCATAAGATCTGTATAAATCTCTACAATACCATAAAAATAACATTATTGATGTCTATAGTTCTAGCTTGGCTGAAGATACCCAAGCGTTAATATACGACGGAGATTGGCTACGTAATAGGTATGACTTGAAGAAAAACAAAAGGTATAAATTTAATCAATTGAAATTATTTTATAATTTAATTATATTCGATTAAATTTTAATAGAAATTTGGCTATATTTTGTATATAGGAGGAACCAACATAACCAACATCTCAGTACGTGAGATTACCTATATGAATCTATTAAAATATTTTATTTTTCTTAATCTTATTTTTTTTTTATTTCTATTCTTTATTCTTGTTTTTTGTTTTATACATTTACAAATTGTTTGCCAATTTATGTAGTCTTGGAATTGTATTTGTAGGGGAGAGAAGATGAAGAGAAGTTTTTGGCTACTACAAGCATCGAGATGTATTTATTGGATTTAGGTAGTTATTTTAATTTACATATAGATTTGTTTGTTGGATCTAATAAAATATATGTTATTTAGTTTGAAAATTTTACTTATGAAAGTGACTTAAATGCATATTGTGATGAGTTTTGTTGTGATTCATGATTCTATTTAGACGTTGAAATTGTGATTTTTGTTTTAAGTATTTATGAAGTTGATTCATGAACTCCTTGGAAGTTAAAAATTAACAGGCTAACGGGTCAAGTCAGGCCAGTTGTTTTTTTTATAAACGGGTCAAGCTAGGCTAACAGTTAGACTCGTACTAGACTCAGGCCAAGCCAAATTAATTTTTTTTGCATAGACTTGGACTTTTTGAGACAAAGCTCGGCCCGACCCAGCCTATTTCTGCTGTCGTTGCAGAAAAAATCTGTGTAGTAACACATAAAAAGTTAGGATACGCATGTAGATTTGTTTTTTTTTAATATCAAGATTCTCAATAAGACATGTGTTAAGTCTTCATTGTTGGAGATATTTAAGGGATTTTTTCATTTAAAATAACATAAAGTTATGTCATTTTAAGAGAGAGACAAACACAGAAATTTTTTTATTTAAATTTTAAATTATAAAATACCATCCACTTTCTCTCTCCCATAATTTCTATTTTTCTGTGTCTATCTCTCTCTTAAAATGACATAATTTATGTTATTTAAAATCACAAACACCAAATTCGATATTTAAACGTGTCTATCGTATAAATGCGCATTCAACAGGATAAGTATATTCTAGACATCTATTGATAAGCCTGCCCGGATTGTGGTTTTGAGAAAATCTCTAAAAATTATTTGCAACAGACACGATGACCTTAATTTGTAAGTCATATATAATTGATGACCTATCATTTAAATCTATTTACTTCGTTACCTGTTACCGAACACAATTTGAGATTAATTTTCGTTTTAAAGTATTAAGGCTATTATTTTTCACAAATACTGAATCTTTAGTTATTTTTACAATTCTACGTGAGCATAGCAACTTGATCTTTCGCTTTCAATTTGTCCTTTAATTTCCTTAAAACAAAAACCAAAAAACGTTCGTGATTCCTATCACTGACGTTAGGGATCAAGATAATATAAATAAGAGAAATAAAGTGTGAACTTAAATAACTTAATAAAATTAATATGTAATTTCACTCAACCAAAATTAATGTGTTAAAAAAAACATGTTATTAAAATTCATGGACAAATAATATTTTAAAGCATCAAAATTTACATTTACTGGTTGAGTGGTTATTTGGGTAAAACCGAATAATCTGTGGGTACTACTAGATTCCAGAAAGGTTGGGAAGGCCTTGTCGTTTGTGTCTTGTTTTGTTATATAAATGAATAGTGGTAGTAGACAGTAATGGTATCAACTAAAAATAAACAATGTCAGGCCCAGAATGCTGTTCAAATCCACCAACACTGAACCCGAGTGCAGGAACTGGCCATGTTGAGAAACTGGCTGGTCTTGATTCCTATCTCACTGGCTCCCCTCACTCAAAAGTCGCCGTTATTCTCATCTCCGATATTTATGGTATCTCATCTTTACTGTTTTTTTTTTTCTTCTCAAAAGGGCTTTTGATTTTGTGGGTGGGAGATGAATTTTATTTGGTATACACTGTTTTTTAAAATTCGTATGAACATGTGTAATTTCCCCCTGATCTTATAACTTTTAGTCTTTTACTATATAATGAATTCCTTAATATCTTTTATTCCCACAGATCTATGACTTCATTAGTCAAAAATATGATAATATTCTGGTTGAGGTTTCTCTTTGTGATGTGAAGTGCTTGTACTTTTGAACTTTCCATTTTAAATATGTATGATCTAATCACTCAAAAAGACTTCTTTGCATGATGAAAGACATTAGACTGACTCAAGACCTTCATCTTATTTTCGGGATGTGGGGAGAGGAAGTTGTCTTTTGACACTTGACACTATATCATACTGCTTTGATATTCTATATTTTTTTATGCTTTTTGTGGTTATGAATTTCTTGCTGGAGTTACTTTTCTTAAATATTTATATGCATATGATGCATATAATTTCTTGCCTGCCTGAAGATTACAAAAATCAGTTTTTTGACGAGGCTGTTGTTTATGTATTGAATTGATTATATTGAGTGTATACTGATAATCTTTTAACAGCTATTTTCCTTTAACCAAATTCTTCTATCAAGTTTTAACTTCGCGTGCTCAATTTTTCCTGCAGGATATGAAGCGCCAAATTTAAGGTATGGCCAATTCTCATGTCTGTTTTCTATCTCTAATTTACTAATTTTTTTGCTTCCTTCTGTCCAAACTCATGGTTATGTGTACCTTGTAATTGAAAGGGATAAATAGTAGATTGCCTGCTTGCACCTATTTTGGAAGAAAATGGGGATTTGAGTATGAGGGAACTCTACCTCAAAGCACAAGCGCTTGAATATTTTTCTTCATAAATTTTATTCAACACAACAGCAGTTTAAATAAGCAATACAGAACCAAAAAAATAGGAAACCATTCTCTACCACTAAGAAAGTAGGAAATAACCTATCCACTACCTTGACTCACACAACAACTAACAAATAACAAAAAAGAAAAAGAAAAAGAAAAAGAAATAATGACTCCTAACAGTTTGTCAGAAAGATATTCTAATTGAACTTACTTGTCCTCTTTTAACTACTTGCTCATGTTTTTAAGGTGGCAGCGATAGATTTCAATTTTGGTAGGGTAATGATCTAATGATCATCTATTTTTTACAATAATAAAAACTGTCTGGGACATATCAGTGTGATTTAGAGAGTTCTGGTTCATGAAAGTAATGTTGTAGCCTGTATATATATAATAGGCTATAGTTAGATTTCTAATTTTTATAGATGATGCATTTGTGATATAATTATTTGGTTTATTGGGATATCTACCTTTTCCCTTCAAAATTTCTCAAGGTTTCGGTAAATTATACTGCCAATACTATCTGGCTGTTTCAATCGGCTCTGTTTGCCAATTCTATTCTGTGTCCATCTCTCTCTCACTATGATGCCAAATGTAATGTGTTCACCTGGTAAGCAATACTGTTTGTTCTCTATTGTGAAGGAACCTTGCAGACAAGGTTGCTGCTGCTGGGTATTATGTGGTTGTTCCTGACTTCTTCCATGGTGACCCCTATAATCCTGAGAATCCTGACAGGCCCTTACCCACATGGTTAAAAGATCATGGAGCGGTTAGTTCTCAATTCTTATATCCTTATTGGAACTTTGAACACTTCGATTTTGGTAGATATATGACTGGATTCAGATGTCTAGTTTATGTAATGTCATTATCACTTCGGCCATTATCCTGCCCCCTTTTATGCTTGGTTTTGATTTGTGGATTGAACATTACAAATTGTCTGTTAGAGAATAATATAAACCATTAAAAATGCACTCACTCAATACCTTAAGGTTTTGGGTTGAAGTGGTTCTTTACATGATATCAGAGTTTCGATCCTCACCGCCCCCACTTTCTAGGGGAATTAAATAAAAAACACAAAAAAGGTAAACTAAAAATTGGGCCTGTGGATATCCACCCTTCATGCCCAAAGAGCTCTTGCGTGAGGGGGTGTGTTAGAGATCAAATGTACAAAATTGTATGTATAAAAAAAAAAAAAAAATTATACAAAATTGTGACTCTGATGCTTATGCTTGTCTAATGTATTAATAGGACGAAGGTTTTGAAGCCACAAAACCCATAATCGAGGCCTTAAAAAGTAAAGGTGTTTCAGCTATCGGGGCTGCTGGTTTTTGTTGGGGTGGTGAGTGCCTCTCATTCTACTTATTTTGCGTGCATTAACCCCCTCCCCGCCCCCCCCCCCCCTTCTCTCTCTCTTCTCCTCCCAAAGTATATAGCAGTTTCAGCTCCTCTTAGGTGTACTTAATGGTTGGATTTAAACACAACCAAGTTAATAATTGAACTAATAAAATGTACTATATTTTCTTATTACTCTCAGCTAAGGTTGTGGTTGAACTTGCGAAATCCAGACTTATCCAAGCTGCTGTGCTATTGCATCCATCATTTGTCTCTCTGGATGACATCAAGGGTATGAATTTTCAATGTCTAGATTTATTTTTTTTCTTAGCTTGCATTTTCCTTGTTCAGGAATGTTTCTCAGCATCTTCTAATAAAAAAGACTACTAATATTATGTCGCTGCTTCTTTTCTTTTTCTTTTTTTAAAAAGCTTTTAAATTTTCATTACCATTAATTTTAGTATTTTTTAAAGTAAGAGGCCTACTGTGATATCCTAAGTGATCATATTTGTCTTCATGCAGACGTGCAATATTTTTATATACACCTTATTTAAACAAAAACATTGTTTGTTATATAGTATATTCTTTCCAAGTTACTGTAACTGTATATCGATTATTGACTATATAGGGACTAGTTGCCTTTCTCTCTCTCTCTCTCTCTCTTACTTTTTTGTTTGTAAAATATTAAAATTGCATTGATATCTATATATACGTCTGATAATCATTACTTCTAGTGCATGTTTGGATTAACTAATTTTGTTTTAATAAAAACATAATCAAAATGCTGCAGAGAGATGTTTTGGCCGAAAGCTGTTTTTGTATAAAAGTAGACTTGGTATGACTTACAAATGATAATATATTAGTGCAAAAAATTAGGAATTCAATCGTTTATGGAGTATATAAGATGCAGTTATTTATGGACTAAGCATGCAATCTATGCTTCTAGAAGCGGAATTCTTAAAGCAGCGACTGAGATGTTCATATTCTAACTTTAATTATTGGTCCTACATTCAGGTGTTGATATTCCAATTGCTGTACTTGGAGCTGAGATTGACAGAATGTCTCCACCAGAGCTTGTGAAACAGTTTGAACAAGTCCTTACTGCAAAACCTGGGGTTAGATTACTTTTTCTTTCTTTTGCGGTTATCTGCCATCCTTTTATATTACCTAAATGATTTGCTAATGTTATTATTTTGGTTTAATTTTATATACATAGTCAATTACAAGATTCTGTAATCAATAAAATCAGTTAGTTGAATGAACAAGGAGAGATGTCCTCCTCAGGGGTTTCCCCTCCTCAACTGGGTCCACAAGACTCGGTTTACTAACTGAATTTCTGGTTTCCTAATTCTATACCCCTAGCTTCTATTTAACCACCACAGCTGGGATAACCAATTTTTCATGCTTAATTTGCAGTCTTGCTAACTACTTGACTGCTCCTTCCTTTTGTTCCTTCTTGTGTATTCTTTAGAAACCCTCTCACCCTTGTGAGTCATTGAATTAGCACATGTATAAGAATCTTGTATGTATTTAAGAATTAAGATATCACTCATGAACGGTTTTTTTCTATTCTGCAGGTTGACAGTTTTGTTAAAATATTTCCTAAAGTTTCTCATGGTTGGACTGTGAGGTACAACACTGAAGATGCAGAAGCTGTGAAGACTGCAGAGGAGGCCCATCAGGACTTGCTGGACTGGTTTGCTAAACTTCTTAAGTGAAAATCTTGTTCTGTTGACTATATCATCGTGTAGTAGAGTGGAGTATGTAAAATGCTACTTAAACCATAGCTGGAGTTTACTAGAAAATAAATGTTGTATTATTGCTCGTTGGACATGGATCTTACACTCTTACATTTGTTGTAATAATTTTGCTTTCGGTGCTTGAGAAATTATATTTTAAGAATATGTGGTTTTAATCTACCTATGTTCTTTGTTATTTTATTCTGAATCATTTTCAAAAGAAAAATTGCTTTTTCCCCACAGGCAGGAGAAACACACTGGTTAAAGTTTTTTTGTTCTTATACGTTCATAATTATTGTTTTGGCACTGACTCATCAAATTTTTTTAATTGCTATCATGAAGCGCATTAGGACTTTCATTTTTACGTTTACAAATTAAAATATATTGTTTTAATGAAGGATCCTATTCATATATGTATCAGGGCCGATGGTAAATTTCCTTCTGTAAATACGTGAATGGCATACAACTAGCACAATTTTGAAGATGCATTTAACAGGCATGTACGATATTTTAAAAAATTTATTTTTTTCTTGTATTATAAATTTTATTAAAATTGTATTATTTGAATCAAAATATAATTTGTGATCCAATTGTAGATGACATAGGAATAAAAATATATAAAATATGCTCAAATCCAACAACACTGAACCCTAGTGGAGGAGCCGGCCACGTTGAGAAACTAGGTGGTCTTGATTCCTACTTCACTGGCTCTCCTCACACCAACATCTCCAATTTTTGGTATCTCATTTTTACCGTTTCTTTCTCATTTCCACTTTCCCTTCTTTCTTGTGCGTTACCATCAGAAGTGCTTTTGACTTTGTCCGTGGGGATACCGGTTTTTACATTAAGGTGTGTTTGGTATAAGAGAAATTTTTTTATATCTGGGAATCATAATTAATGAGAATTCATGTATAAATTGAGTTTACCTGGAATGTTATGAAAAAACTGTTTGGTTCGCTAAAATATCACCGGGAATATTGGGTAAGGATTACTGATTCTATGTTTGGTTTTGAATGAAATATTATTGGGAATACGATGTTATATTACAAAAATAACCCCTAAATATTTTTTATGTGTGTTGGGGGTAACAATGACACCAGACCTAGGTTTTGATGTGTGTTGGGGGTATTTTTGTCTAAAAAATAATTGTTCTGGTTTTCCTTCGCATTGCAATCGTGAATTATCATATTATTTTTGGTAATCAAAACAATAACTTTTCTTTGTAAATGACATTACTAGTAAACCTTGGATATCCGGGAACTGGATTTTGTATCTTTGTACCAAACATGGTAATATACCATTACCAAAGAAGGTTTACCAGTAATCTCTCAAATACCCTTGCACCAAACACACCCTAAGACGAATATATGTGATTCCCCCCTGATTTTGTACCTTTACTATTGAAGTGAATTCATTATTGTTTTATTTTCCACAAGCATGCGCACGCACACGCATGCACGCACGCACAAGCACACATAATTCAATGGGTAGGTTATATTTACAATTTTTTTGTTTATAAATTATACTATGTATTATGGGTAGTACATATTCAAGTAATATGTAATACCCATAATATATAATGTATAATATATAGTGTAGTTTGTAAATTAAAAGTTTTTAAACATAAGCCTGCTCATGATCTAATCACTAAAAAAGTCTTCCTTGCATGATGAAATGCATTGGACTGACTAAAGAACTGCATCTTATTTTTGGAAGGTGAGGAGAGGAAGCTGTCTTTGACAATACTGCTTTGATATTCAATATTTTTTATGCTTTGTGTGCCTATGAATTTCTTGCAGGTTTTATGTCTCTTACATATATTATATGCATGTAATTTCTTTCTTGTCCACCTGAAGATGACAAAAATCAGTATTTTGACAAGGCTGCGGTCTATGTATTGAATTGATTATGTTGAATCTATAGACTATAGAGGTAATCTTTAAACTGAAAATTGCCTTCAACTAAATTCTTCTTTTACTTCACATGCTCAATTTTTCTTGCAGGATATGACTAATTGTTATTCCTGTTTTATGAATCTAATTTACTCATTCTTTTGCCTTCGATCTGTCCAAAGTCAACGTAATGTACCTTGTAATTGAAAGGGATAAATAGTAGATATCCTTTCATCGTATTTGATTCTTTCTCTTGTGCTTTTATTGGGTGATTGAAATCCCTTGTTTTGCTTATGTGAATCTTGGTGGGTTTTTCTTGGGAGCAAATTCATCTTTTCTTTGTTCCAATTCCTCATGTATGGATTAATGAGTATTTATGAATTTTATCAAAAAGATATTCTGCATTATATTCTAACTTAACTTACTTGTCCTCTTTAAACTACTTGCTCATGTTATTTATTCAGGTGGCAAAGATTGATTTCAATTTCTGTAAGGAAAGGATCAAATGATCCTCTGATTTTTTTATAATACTGAAAACTGACAAAAACATATCAGTGTAATTTAGAGAGTCATGGTTCATGTAAGTAAAAACATTAGGTTAAAACTAGAATTTTTATTTTCATAGTTGATGCGTTTGTGTTATAATTATTTGGTTTATTGGGATATCTACCTTTTCGGCATGATGCCAAATGTAACGTGTTCCCCTGCTAAGAAATACTCTGTGTTCTTTGTTGTGAAGGAAGTTTGCAGACAAGGTTGCAGCTGCTGGGTATTATGTGGTTGTTCCTGGCTTTTTTTATGGTGAACCCTTCGATCCCGAGAATCTTAACAGGTCCTTACTTGATTCTATGTTATTTTTATTCTTTTATTTTGATTTGGAATAGAAAGAAACAATTCAGCCTTTATTTTATGACAATTAGTCTAAAAGTCTCAAATTAAGGAATATAGAAAGAAAAAAAAATGCATTGCTTTTCCGGAAATTTGTTCAAACAGAATACTGGAGGAAGAAATGGTATCAGAGAAGAAGGGCAAGGAAATCAAGTGTTACAGATAGCATAATGGAAGTTTTCTTTCTTTCTTTTTTCCCACCCCTCCCCACGTATATGTTAAAGTTGGCACTTGTATTGTGATTAAACTTTATTTTTGGTGGCATAATGGAACTTTAACTATTTATATAAGAAAATACTTTATTTTTTGTGGCTGCTAGTGTTGAGCAAGATTGAGTTTTCAATAATAAAAAATATATTGTTAAAAAAGAATCAAATGAACTTGAGAGAAAGATTTTCTCCTAAAATTAGACAATAATATTTCTCTATATTTTTTGTTATCAAATTTTTACCTGAAGTAAATTTGCATCAATATGTGATTTCATGGAATTTCTCTGAGAGACATCAAATGGTTGATCACAAGACCATGGGCATGCATGACAATCTTCCTGGAATTTTTTTTTAATTTCTGTTCTTGAGAACAGAAATGGATAGAAAACTCATTTGGTAAAACCAGTTTATTTTTTGTTCTCAGATGAGTGCTGGAGAACAGAAAAAAGAATAATTTTTTTTTTGTTTTTTTATTTCCGGGCATAAAATGAGAAACACTTATTTCTTTCACTCACTCTCTACCACTATCATCATCACCATCACCACCATCATCCCGACACGACTACCGCAACCATCGTCGCCGCCGCCGAAGTACCACCAATGTCGTCGTCACAATCACCACCACCACCACGACGATGCCACCGCCACCACCACCACGACAATGTCATCGCCACCATCATTATCATCACATTCACTACCACTACTGTCACCAACTACTACCATCACCATGCCATCGCCACCACGACCACGACCACTTCCACCATCATCGCAGTCACTACCATCACCTCATCATCGTCACTACCACCACGCCAGTGTCAACAACCACCATCACCGTTGCCGCAGCCGTTACCACCACCACCATCGTCGCAACCACTGCCATCACCACCACCACTACTATTACCACTATCATCGCTGCAGCCACTGTCGTCACTATTACCACCACCATTATCACCACCACCACCATCATCGCTACAGCCACTGTTGTTAGTACCACCACTGCCGCCACCACCATCACCACCATTACTACCACCACCGCTGCTGCCATATGAGACGAAAGTGATTATCGAAAAAGATTTATGCTTAATATGAATTATTTTTTATTATATTATTTATTGTGTTATCAAACGCAATTCTCATTCTCAGAATAAAAATAAAATGTTATCAAACACATTTTTTTTCTCCGAAATTATTCCAAGACACAGAAATAAAAAATGATTATTTCTTTTCAGAAACATTGTGAGAGCACAAAATGGTTATCATCCCCGCCCCCATATCTCTCTGCTCGTCAATAATTTATTTTATGAAGTTTCAACGCAGAGACATCAACAAATGTGCAGGCTGATCGCAAAACTAATGAATCTCTGCTCATCAGTTATCTCTCAACACAACAAATCTTTAAGCTAATTTGGAAACATATTACCTATAAGTTTCGGTTCAAAATATATCTTTTTTGAATTTGCTAGAAATATGATAAAATATTGAGTTTAAACATCTTTGGGAGGAGTTTAAAGCCTTAATCCTGGACCCGCCCCGAATTAGATTAGTTGCAAAGCAATGAACCGAATGGAATATTTTCAAAAAAATATTGAGTTTAAAGTTTATAAAGTTATTTTAGATAATTTATCTAATGTTTACTAAAATATACACTAAAAAGTATATGGGCCCATGTTTTTTTTTCTCTTCTCTTCACATGGGACCCCATGGATTTCACATACTTTTTAATGTGTATTTTGGTGAATATTAGATAAAGTAATTTAAAGTAACTTTAAACCCTAAAATATTTATAGAAAATAATTTTCTTATGTTGTAAGAAAATAGTTATCTCATGTTATAGAAATAAAATTGCAAATAAGACCCATAGGTAAGAGGAGAGAGAAAAAATAGAGATGAGATCCACCTCTTCTTTATATGTGCTGTAAATTTATTTATTTTATGCAACATAAGAGAAATATAACCGTTATTTATATCATGTTACAACTTACGGGAGGGAAATACAACCATTTTTACACCAGAATCCACAATCATTTGTAAAACAATTATAGATGAATATCCAACAAAATTTAAGATTTCATTTTTACAAACATTAATTTGGACAGATGGATCTTGATTTGTTGGTGAGGTTATGACCATAAGGTTAAGAGGAATTATTATTCTGACAATTGGTATCAGAGCCATCATCATATTGAATCATGAGTGAATTATATTTTATGATTTTTATATATGATGAATCATGAAAATTTTTGTTTTATTGTCTTTTGGCATAAAGGGGAATGAACCCAATTGCGTGAGGTTGATTTTAACCATTTAAATATAAATTAACTTTCTTTTTTGTCTTAATGCATTCCTTCGTTATCATATTTGTATCTATACAATTAGATTTTCTTAAATAATCTTATGTCATATGAAAAATTATTCTCGACAGAGAAGGGACACTCGAGAGAGAGAGAGAAAGAAAAGCTAATTGGATTTATTAATTCCTTTTAGAGCAGAGCTCTTTTTGTCCCTAGAAAAATATGATTCTCATTTTAGTCTCTTGCAACAAAAATTTAGTCCTATGTTTTTAAGAAATTCAAAGTGAATCCATTTAATTGAAGTTTTAGTTTATCACATTCAAAAAGACCAATATTAGTCTCTCAAAAGAACTAAAATGGATCCACTTTTAATTTCTTAAAAATTCAGAGACTAATTTTTTTTTATAAAAGACTAAAGTGAAGTTTGTATTCTTTTGTTAAGGATCCAAACTAAATTTTACTCTTTCTTCTAACAAATGTTGTCTTAATTTTTTTTTTTTTTTTGTTTTGATAACAGTCTTAAAATATTCTTATTTAGTGAGCAGCCCTATACCTGATTATTGTTAATTTGTTATTTGTATGCGGGGTCATAAGTAATTTCTTTTAATTAATTTTGTTTTAAATATTCTTAAGATTGGATTATTTAGCTAGCAGCCCCAGACTTGATTATTGTTAATTTGTTATTTGTCTGCGGGGTCGTACCGCCATTTTAAAGTGACGCTTCCTTTTGGTTTTTTATTGAATTTATTAAGTGATTATTTTCATTTGTTGTGTAATTTAATATATTTTAGTGCCGGGTGAAGTCAGAGCTTACGCAAGTTTGTTAGGAGTAGATCCTCTTATTATGGGTTAACTAATGAATTAGGAGTTAACTGAGTTAAGAAAAATGACTTATTTTCTTGATAAGTTGAACCAAAATTAAATTTTACTTATCAAACACATAATTTTGTTTAATTCACTCTCATTTATAAATTTATCAATTCTTTATTAATAAGCGATTTATAATGTTATACTAATCAATAAAATTAATAGTTTGCCTACATCTTGAAACAGAGGAACCTTAATTCGTTAACTTCGATTTCTCTGCATTTTTTATTGTAAATTAAGTTAACAAACTGTATTTAGACTTCTTTATATCTATACACAATTACTTTTAGTAAGTAAATCTAAATACAGTTTTTGGTCAGTGTGCAAACAATCAAAATAACAATAATTTTATATAAAAAATGGAAATGGATCCTCTTTTTTCACATGATATGGTCACTGGGAAGATTACAATCATATAAAGATAAATCAATGATTATGATTTCGTAACTATCTATTTTAACATTTTTTTTCTCTCCTCCTTTATTTCCATTGATCCACCCTTGTATGGTTATGATTCCTCTCATGACATGGTCATATGAATTTTCACATAAGAGGATCCAGATCCATAAAAAATAGAGATATGATGTTTTTACTACCAAATAATGTTACTATCATATCTTAACCGTTGATTTTCGTCAATCAACGATTATTATTTCCACAAATCAAACTCATTAATTAGTTATTAATTATTATTTCCACAAATCAAATTCATTAATTAGTTATAAATTACAAATAAATAATAATCTTGACGAAAATCAACGGTGAAAACATAATAGTAACAATATCCTATCCCTAAAAACATCCATTTTTTATACTACAAATTTATTGAATGAACATGAAACTGCAAAAAATAATAATAGATTTAGATTTTATTCAAAAATGGATAAAGGAAAATATGATCAAATAAATTATTTTATGTCATTCTATTTTTTACTTTTGGTATCAAATATTATATTTAATTTTTTTCAAATAAATGTTGTTTTGAAATATTTTCGGAATAAATTATTTAATAAATAAATGCAGGTGATCTTCTTATTTAAAAAAGAAGAAGAAGAAGTTGAAACTACTAATTTCCATTATTAGGAAAACAACAGAAAAAGAAAAGAAAAAGAAAAAGGAAGTAAGAAGCCCCATACTTCATTATTGTTATTTTTTCTGCGAGATTATACCGCCATCGTAACTTGATGCCTTCCTTTTGATTTTTTTATTCAAATGATTCCATAATTATTTTAATTTTTTATAAAATTATATTGTTGTGGGGGACGAACGCTAGAGAGGCTAAGCCAACACTAGTTTTGATGCCCTAATTACCTACTTTTTCTTTGGTAACGACCGTTCTGATTTTCTTTTATTTATGATAAATTCCATATATTTTTCATAGAGACAATTTTGTTCGAGGCAGGTAAATGATTAAATGTTTTAAACATCTGTTAAAGATGATATTTGAAAGGATCTAAACTATACTCTCACTTTCAACTGAGCTATTATTATTTAATTTATTATTATTATTATTATTATCTACAGAGGTTAGATATGTAGCGGTCGAAGTAATCTCTAATTAAAAAAATTATAATCATATATAAATTAAAACTTCTTTTATTATATTTGTCATGATATTTTTCAGTTTCTATTTTTATTATTCATTGCTTTATTTATTTTTTTACTAAAAATTTTATTTCTCTTATTTATATTTTTATATTTTTTATTTAATTTATATATTGTATATCATATAAATTTTATTTTATTTATATTAATAATATTACATTGTTATTGAAGTAATAAGTTTATAAATTTCAAATAATACATAATAAGATAAATTGTTATCTTAAAAATAAAGATAAGTTTTATCGGAACTTTAAATTCTTAATTGAGGTTAGATTATCTTATTTGATGAAACATATAATTTTAATCAAACAATTAGAAGGTGATAAAATTTAAGTATTAGAAATTTCTTATATTCTATTTCCAAAAAAAAAAAGAAATTTCTTATATTCTCGTTAAGTATATGATAAGTGATATGAGATTGTTTCTTTTTAATTAATGATGTACAATTCGAGTCTTAAATATGTAACTTTGTAAAAAATTCGATAGGAATAACTTTATCGCTTTATAATCCACCATGCAAAAGAAATTAAAAAAAAAATAAAGTTCCTTAAATTGATAGTGACAAATATATAAGTTTATGCAACTGTCAAAGTAAAAGGTGACCATTCGTATGATGTTATTTAAAAATATAGACCAATCAAATGAACGGTGGAAAAAAATCAAATTGACTTTGAAACAAATGTTAACTTTTTTTAATCATTTATATTATTAAAAAAAGGAATGTTTCAAAAATTGAAAGTCTTAAGTTTGTCTATAAATAGAAAACTTCACTGGACCAGGAACAACAAGAGAGAAACAAAAATGGCTGGACCAGAATGCTGTTCAAACCCACCAACCCTGGACCCCTCTAGTGGATCTGGCCATGTTCATAAATTTGCTGGTCTTAATTCCTATCTCTCTGGCTCCCCTAACTCGAATCGAGCCATTCTCTTTGTCTCCGATATTTTTGGTATTAATTCTAATTTTTTTTTAATTAATTACTTCAAAATATTAATTTCTTTAATATTTTTAAACGTTTTTGGAACAAACTTATATCATTTTATTATATCTTTCTAATAATTTATAATTAATATAATTTCTTGCCTAGCTGAAGATATAAAAAAAATTGGTATTTTGTGGAGGCTGTGGTTTACATAATGAATTGATTGTATTGAATGCATGCATATCATCTATTAACAGTTATTGCCTTTATTCGTCTTGCAGGATATGAAGCGCCACTTTTAAGGTTTGGCTAACCTATCAGAAATCCATCCCTGAGAACTCAGTAAAATATTGTACATATTAATTGAAAGGGATAAATAGTAGATTGCCTTTCATGGTATTTGATTCTGTATATAGTGTGTTAGATCATATCTAGATTTTTAATCTCCATAGATGATGCATTTGTGATATAATTATCTGATTATTGGGATGTGCCTTTTTCACTTGCAATTTTCTTTATGTTTTGGTGAATTATACGCCAAAGGAATTGGTTGGTTCAGTCTGCTGATCTATTCTCTTTGCCAGTTCTCTGTCTATGATGCTAAATGTAATGTGTTTTCCCTGGTAAGTAATACAGTTCGTTCTCTATTGTGAAGGAAGCTTGCAGACAAGGTTGCAGCTGCTGGGTACTATGTGGTGGTTCCTGACTTCTTCAATGGTGATCCCTTTGATTTTGATAATGTGAACAGGCCTTTACCTGTTTGGATAAAAGATCATGCAGTGGTTAGTTCTTTTTCTTTTTTTAAGAAAACTTTTTGTTTTTGTTGAAATCCAATTTTTGGTATCCTTATCGGAACTTTAATAACTCTGATTTTGGATAAGAAACTGCTTATGTAATGTTATTGTAATTTTTCCAATTGGCCTGCCACCTTTATAGTTGGTTTGGATTTGTAGATGTAATATTATGAATTGTTTCAATTAAGATGTATAATAATTGTGACTTGTTTGTAAATTGTAATGTATTCTTTTTCTGATGCTTACATATTATACTTACAGGACAAAGGCTTTGAAGCTGCAAAACCCGTAATTGAAGCCTTAAAAAATAACGGTGCTTCTGCTATCGGGGCCGCTGGTTTTTGTTGGGGTGGTGAGTGCCTTCCACTTATTTTGTGTTCTTTATTTCCCCTTCTATTGTGTAATAGCAATTTCAGCTTGTCTTACTCTTAGGTGTAATATTGGTTGTATATAAATTAAATTTAAATACAACTATGTTAAACTCACAGAATGTGCTATGTTTCCTTCTTTCTCCCAGCTAAGGCTGTATGTGAATTTGGGAACTCCAGACTTATCCAAGCTGCTGTGCTGTTACATCCGTCATTTATCACTGTGGATGACATCGATGGTATGAATTTCAAATATTTAGATGATTTCTTACTTTCCATATTCTTTGTTTAGGGGTTCCGTATAATCTTGTAAGGAAAAACGATAACTATAATTATGTTCAGCTTCTTGTGAATTATCACGCTAGCAATCTGCTTATTAAAACAAATATATTTTCGTCACTGAGTTATAAATAATATTCTGTCAGTTATTTTAACTGTATATTAACTATTAGGTGACTAGTTCCCTTTTCTCTTTTCTTTTTTATGAGATTATATTGGCGTCTACTGTTATATCATAATCATTACATTTAGTGGATGTTTGGATTAACTTATTTTTAGTTTAGGAAAATTTACAATCAAAATGCTACAGAGAACCTTTGGCTGAACAGCTGTTTTTGTATAAAAATTAAACAAAAGAAAACATGTCCCCAATGTTTGATTGCAATGTAGAAATAGATTTGGTAAATTTTTTGGATTAGACCATGAAACACTTGTCCCCAACCGTCACTTCCCAGTGTATGGATGTTTTAAAAGCTTCAGGATCATTGATGACATTTTTGTCTGAAAGATGAGCAAAAACTGCAACAACAGTGGTTTGTATTTTTTTTAAAAGAAACTCCTTTCCTATTGTCATTAATTCTTTTGTAACGGTGTATTGAACTTCAGTTGGTATAACTGATTATGCTATGATTCTATTTATTTGGAGCTTCTTCCATGCAAACTCCTTCACTTATCATTACCGAATGGTTGGACAAGGGCAAAGAAGAAGAACCAATCAGAAACGGGTTAATTTCTTAAAGCAGTGACTGAGATGTTCATATTCTTACAGTTCGTTATTGGTCTTACTTTCAGGTGTTAATGTTCCAATTGCAATACTTGGAGCTGAGCTTGACACAATTACTCCTCAAGAGCTTATAAAACAATTTGAACAAGTCCTAACTGCTAAATCTGGGGTTGGATGAATCTTTCTTTCTTTTGTGGTTACCTGCCATCATTTTATATTACCTTGATGGTTTACTTATGATATTATTTTGTGGTGGCGAATAATTGGAATGGATGTTTTACATGCTTAACTTTGTTCAAATTTCATTTTTTGCATCTCATTCAGCTCAATATCTCATTTCTTGGGTACTGAAATACGTTAATTATCAATTTCCTCTGGATCTCAACACCATTCTTTCGGTAGATATAACTTATTTATATTTCTATTATGAGCAATTAAACTTCATCCATAACTGATCACTCTAGTTTTCGTTTAGAATAATAATTTGGCTTTTGAAGTGAAGAGAAAAGTCTGTCTACTTTCTAATGAGCTTCGCATTTACTTAGACCATGTACTCGAACATAGTAATGCATTTAATACTGCCATGGTAATAGAGTTTTGAAATTTGAAGAAAAAACTTATTTGATTCAGATTCCTATCTATCGTTCAAATTGTTGGGCATGTAGTAGGAGAGTGCGAGTACGTGGAAACACACACACAAATTGGGTTTAATTATGCCTATTTTTTTAACACCCCGTTCTTGAAAACATCAACTACTTGGAAGGGTGTCACCATTATCGTTTAACTAACTTCATTCTTAGGGCCACTGTTTTAAGTTTGGTTAGCTTTTTTCACATTTTGTTTCTGCTGTTCATGTTTGGGAAAAACTTTGCGTACACAAGGTGTACAATTGTGCATTGGACCAATCAGAATTGGCATTTGATTTGACATTTTTTAGTTGCGATCTCCATGCTGTACTCGTCGGAGTAGATCATAGGTCATTGAATGTGCACATATTCACGAATATCTCCTGTATTTAAGATATCACTCATGTACCGATTTTGGTTTTGTGCAGGTTGATAGTTATGTAAAAATATTTCCTAAAGTCCCACATGGTTGGACTGTAAGGTACGACACTAATGATCCAGAAGCTGTGAAGGCTGCAGAGGAGGCCCATAAAATCTTGTTGGACTGGTTTGATAAATATCTTAAGTGAGAAATATTCTTCTGTGAAGAATTCTGTGTTGATTGTATAATATCAATATGTACCAGAGTGGAGTATGTAAAATGCTACTCGTTCCTCGTAGTTGTATTTTACAAGAAAATAAATGTTGTATTTGTTTTTCTTGTTCAACATGAATCATGTTGCTGGATTCATTGTAATAATGTTGCTTTTGGTGGTTTCAGTTTGTTTGACATTTGTGATTTAATATCCTAAGAAATAATATTTTAAGGCAATTATGTTACAATCTGATTTCAGTTCATGCTGAATTATTTAAGAAAGCAAAATTTCTTCTTTAGATATAGGACTTTGTTTCACTAGCAAGATCGAGCAGTTAAACGCAACGCCAAGTTACAACTTATAACTAACAAAGCCAACCGGGAGATCATATATTGCGTTTTCAAATTTACTGATTCGTGACTACACTATTGAGTGGCAAAAGCTGGGCAAATCTTTTAACTCCGTGCTCTAAGCCATCACGAACAACTTAAGCTTTTATTATTAGCTGAGAATTAAAACTTTCAAGTGAAACACCAATTTGATTCAAAATAGGTGCAGAGAAGAAGAGAGAAGTGAGAGGGAAAATCAGGCAAATTTCTCTATAACTTTTTTCACATTCATTCCGCTATATATTAATTAGTGTTTGTTACAATCAATTACCTTAACAGAAAAAACATAATTAAAATTTCAACGGAAATACTATTTAATTGTGGACAATTCATTCCGTTATGACAAAAATTATATGCAACACTAACACAGAAATTATATCCAAGTCCTAGAAAATTACAATGTTATTAAGACAACTAATTATATGTTGGTAAATTAATAATTTTATATTTTATGTCATATTTCTCTAATATATTAATACATTATATATTAATGGAATGAGAAGTGATAAGAATCAAACTCGTGACCATTAGGTCACTCTACTACCATGAAATTATTTCAATTCAAAAATTTAAATAATTAGGTAAAGATATATTAATGATCTTATATTTTATATCATATTTCTCTAATAATATCTAACGTAAAAATGTAATTATCCTTAAATTTCAGTAAGTTAAGATCAAAATATACTTTTAAATTAAATTAACCTATGTTTTTAAGTAATTGACAAACAATTATTTTTACTGGAATATATTTATTAATTTTTTTTTCAGATGACTAATTATCTACATATAAACTTCACTCATCAAGATTATTATTATTATTATTTAAAGAAAGAGGTATGATTTAATAATGTAACATTTTGGAAATGAAATATGCATGGTGAATGAAAGAAAGGGCTTAAAATTAATATAAAAAAAATTAAAGTCCAAATTAGAGGAGAACCTGTTGAAGGCCCAAAAAGGACCCATGGGGCAGTGCCCAATAAGGAGGCTATGATGCTGATGCTTCTAAACCCTAAATACACAAGAGCCTTCTTATTTCCGATTTGCGCGTTTTGTTTCTTCTCATTCTCAGTTCTCAACGGGAAAGCAACGGCGCCGTTTACCTGAGGCTTCTCTTCTCCGTTGGTAAGATCTCTTGCCTTTTGTTTCTCAAAAAATGATTCCATTCGAATGTCATTTAGGTTAGAGCACCATCGCATTGATTTGCGTCAGCTATAGTTGATTTTTATTGAAATTTGTGTTTCAGTCACTATGGTGAGGGTCAGTGTCTTGAACGATGCTCTCAAGAGCATGTACAATGCTGAGAAAAGGGGAAAGCGCCAAGTCATGATTAGGCCATCCTCCAAAGTCATTATCAAGTTCCTTTTGGTGATGCAGAAGCATGGTATATTTTCAATAATCAAAGTTTTTCTAATTGAATCGGACTTCTTAATTTTATAGTTTTCGTTATTTTTTGGTGTCTTAATTTGGTATATTCTTGTGGTTTATAATATAGGTTACATTGGAGAGTTTGAGTATGTTGATGACCACAGGGCTGGAAAAATTGTGGTTGAATTGAACGGTAGATTGAATAAGTGTGGGGTTATTAGTCCCCGTTTTGATGTGGGTGTCAAAGAAGTAGAAGGTTGGACTGCTAGGCTTCTACCCTCAAGACAGGTTCGTTCGCCAAAATGCCCTTTTTACTTCTTTTTTATAACCTTCTATCTAGTTATGCGTGCTGTGTCCAAAAGCTTTTTTCTATGAACTTTAAATACCCCCTTGATGTCTTATATTTTTACGGTGTCATGAAAACAGTTCTTTCTTAATCTCGAATAAGAGCTTATTTCAGTTTTGTCATGTGTTATCATTGCGTCAAGAGTATTAAATTAGCTCAGAACTACGATCCTTCATATGAATAAGTTTACTTGTTTCTTGTGCTGATTTTATTACTTTTATATTGTGAAATTTTTATGATGATTATATCGGTCAAGACTTTGGTTGCTTATGTATTAAGGTTGATATATTTTTAATGTTGCTGTGACATTAGCTCCCTGTCATCAGATCAACCATTGAGCTTTATGTGACCGTTTACTCTGTTCTGTTGAATACATATGGTTCCTCCTGTTATCCCTGACCTTTTCATTGCACAAATGATGCAGTTTGGGTATATTGTATTGACTACCTCTGCTGGCATCATGGATCATGAAGAGGCTAGGAGAAAGAATGTTGGTGGTAAGGTCCTAGGATTCTTCTACTAGGCTAGTTTTTGATTGAGGATTGCAGTGATTTCAATTTTGAGATTCACTGGTTGTTATGGAGGATGCGCTTGTGCCCGAGTGATATCGACCATAGCAGGAGTTATTTTGTTACGTGCTTTATTTTGTTTGCAAAACCAAGTTGGTAACTATAATTTATCTTATGTCTTTATCATTATTTTTCTTATACCAAAATGTACCGGTGGATTTGTTTTAACCGGTAAGAACTTTGATTAGAAAGTCTGAGCATTAGCGATGCTCGAATTGGAGTGGTCCAGTGATATTGCATTGACTAGATTGAATTCTTAAATTAGTGGTTTTCGATTTTCAGAAAAATTTCATATTTAAAAGCCGTTACTAAATTATTCTAATTCCAATTTCATATTAACAGGATGTTTTTCTAGCCCTTTTTCTTTCTTTTGAGCCAGTTTCTTTACATTATTTTTAGATAATTAAATAACGGGATTTAATTTGAATTTCTCACAAACAAGCATTTAACTAGTCTGTTGATATTTATACATGCACACTTCACAAAGGCATTCACTGTAGTAGCAGTAGTAAACTAATTATCAACTAGTTTGTGAAGTATATTATAAGGGAAATCATTTTCTTATTTCCTAAGAGAAAGCACTCGTGTTTCTTCCATTTAGAAAAATGAGGCATTTTTTTTTTCAAAAAAAAAAGTGGATCTCATATTTAGAACTCTTTCCATATATATTCACATGTTTAGTATCGTAATCACAGCTTTGCCTCATCTGAGATGTGATTTCTGGTCAGAATATTATACTTTTTCTGTAGAAGTGCGTGGCTGAAGCATTTTTGCTTACCGGGATGCACTTCAGTGTCATTTTTTGTATGTTGTGACGCGCAACGGCATCAATATGGCCAAATTGCCCGAAATAGAAATGTTACTTCTCCACTATTAGTGGTAATATAATTTATGGATTCATCATTTATTAGTTCATCCATGTCTTGAGCCAATTAAATCAATGTAACGACAATGATTGATTAAGATTTAATGAATTAGATGGATTGGAATTGATAATGAAACGCTCAAAATATATATTGGATATCCCATTATTAACCTATCCAATGCCCCAAAGCTCATTTTAAAATCATAATGTGCCAAATTCGTTTCACAATCTTTTGAATTTCTCTACTGTTAATTCATCTAGTTTTGCATTCCCTATCGTCCGCCAACGCTCAAACGTTATAATAGGCAAAAGGAATATTTTTTCATAACCCGGGTAGCCTCTTGTATGTTATTTATTTTGTTTTGTTTTCATTTTTGTTTGGCTGGGTGCGGTCAAATATGGTTCGCAATCAATGGATATAAAGGAGGATCGGTAATGTTTGGTCTTTTGCTGAGGGCACCTAACTGTATCTGTCCACAAGTGCAGAAACTGCTGTATTCTTATCTCAATCTATAAAGAGAAAAAGGATAGTTTTTTTTTTCTTTTTTTCTTTTTTTGAGAAAAAGGATAGTTGGAAGGCGTCACATGAAACTTGTCTGTTTGTCTATTTGAAAAATGTGACGGTTTTCTACTCACAGCTCACAGCCGCGGCTCAATATGCTGGAATGGGGCACTTGGGCCTCTTTATATGTTGCAGTTTGGCTTCTACGAAAGGACAAACAGATGAAACAAATCATAAAGTTAGAAGTTTAAGCTTTGAACACATTATTTTTCCTCCTCTTTTTCTCCTGGCCTTAACTAAAAGTTGGAGATAGAATATAAATATCTCCAGCAAGTTGGGAACTAAGAAGTATAGTTTTACATGGTGCACCAGACAGGGATCATGGGTGTTCGGCCCAAAAAGGATTTGTGAAGGGGACGGTGTCATCATCAATGGAGGAAAAGAATACTAATAGTTCTTTAAAAAATATATATATAATTTTTGGCACGATACATAAATATAGAAAAAAAAATAAGAATGATAAAAACAAAAGGAATGAAAAGTCAAAATTTTAATATATATATATATTAACAAAATAAAATTTTAAAAATTAACATGTGACAATAGTATTAGGAAAACTTTGACATTATATATAAATGAGATCCTTTGTATTGATAGCCATAAAACTCTTCCCACATGGTCAAGCCAAACTTGCTTTGCTTTTGTATAATTATAGCACTTAAAGAAATACATGGATTATTTTAGAATTAACAGTTAACGGGACAATAATCTAAAAAAAATATTCATCAATAACATTCAACCGACAATAATTCAATTATCATAAATATCACTTAAAAAATTTAATTTTTTAAAATAATGTATTGATACATCATTATTATATAATATTATAAAAAAATAAGACTACTGTGTGTCAAATTTAGACTCATTAATTTATCCCATGAAAAAACTTGTTAAAGGGAAAAAGAAACCAAGTAAGGATTTCAAATTTCCAAACCAATGTGGATTTGTGATGGTCAGTTTCTTTGCTACATAACAATCCGTTCATTTCTCTCTCCACTCTAAGTAGACAGTCACAGAGATTACCGAATTCATTAGCTACAGAAGAAATTGATAACAATTGTAAATAACTTAGTGCCTGTTTTTGGATCCTCTTTTTTAAGTTAGAAGTTATTTATAAGCATAAGTTAAGCCAAACAGGTTTTGAGAAAAACTCTTATAATGAAAAGTTCTTCTTTTTATAATGAAGAAAAAAATTGAAAACTAAAAAAAACTTCTAGGAGGAGCTTTTTTTTAAACTTATTTTTTTTTCTTGAATTGTGTGTTTTTTTAAAATGAAGAGTGATAAAGATGGAGAGAGAGATAATTTTCTTGAAATATGTGCTTTTAAGTAAATTTTAAGCTAAGTTTTTTATGTAATTTTCAAACAGTTTTTAGCTTCTTTTTTTAAGCTCTTTTTTTTAACTTTAGTTTATAAGTAGTTTCTAGCTTAAAAATAAGAGGATCCAAACAGGCTCTTAGTGAAATCATAAGTTACATATGATTTTAAAATGGATTTGGTATTTGTCATTTTAAATGACATAAGTTATGTCATTTTAAGAGATAGATAGACACAAGAAATGAAAATTATGGGAGAGAAAGTGGGTAATTTTTTTAATTTAAATTTTAAATAAATTTTTTTTCTTGTATCTATCTCTCTCTTAAAATGACATAACTTTATATCATTTAAAATGACAAACATTTTTAAAATATATAAATTTTTAAAAAATTAATATTACCAAACTGCCCTCATTTTGGGAGAGCAAAATTGTTCTTATGATAATACCAGACTATATACTTTTTATATATAAAGATATCTTAAATTTAATGTAATGACGTTTGCAATTATACATTTGTTGAAATATGTTTTTGATTTTTTTCTTCTAATTTTCTCCTTATATAAAGATATATTTCAATTTAGTCTTTATACATTCAATTATTTTTAATTTAATCGTCTTAATATATTGCTATTATAACATGATTAGTTAGAATTATAATATAGTTGTTCTAACCGGACCAGATAGCCCGATGACTTGGGCCAGCCATTCAAGGCCCACTTCTACAATATTATATAGGTGAACACATGAACTTCATCACGAGAAATACTTCTCACCATTGTACACGTACGATAGTGAGGCAGTGCCTCACTGCTTGAGGTATTCCCTAACGGATTTTAATGATAGAATTTCAATTAACGACAGTAATTTTAATTATAAAATAGAAATTTTACACACATTAAAATTTTAATTTTCCACACGATTATATTTATTATAATATTTTACCGTTAAATTATCTTAAATATAAATTTTACACGTTTTATTATATTGACTTATATTCTTATACTATTTCGCTTCTTAAATGTTTCATATATATTATATTATTTAACATACTTTCCAATAAATATATATTATATCAGTATACAAAAGAAAAATAATATCGTCGCATATAAAATAATATTTAAACTATTATTTTTTATATTTTATTTATAATTTAATATTTTATTTATATAGGATAGTTTTTAATCACTTAAAAATATTGAATATTTTATAAATTTTTTAATATATTAAATACCTATATCTCTCATTACGTAGTTTTTTTTTTTTTTTGATTTTTGTAGTGTGTACACCATTTACGATAATAATGCATTGTATAATATAGATGCAAATACTTTAAAATGCAGTATATTTTTAATGGAATGAGGTTATGGACACTTCAATATACCTATTCACACTTTTTTAATTTTATTTTTTTAAATACAATTTAGACATATAAATATAAAATATAAATATTTTTTTACTCTGATAACTCAAATTATTTAGAAAATGAGTTAAATTCTTACTTGATTATGCTTTTTTTCTGTATATATTTCTTATAATTTTTCCCTCTGATACTTGACAATAAGTCATGTTGATCTGGTGGACATCAATAAATATTAGAGAATAATATAAATCATTAAAAAGGCTTTTATCTAACAACTTGAAATTTTGGGTTAAATTAGTTATTTACATAATATCATAGCTTCGGTGATCATAAAATTACGAGTTCGATCTTCACCGTCTGCAATTTATATAAAAAAATGAGCATATGCAATATTCACGTTTTAAGCGCAAAGAATAATATAAATCATTATAAAGACCTTCATCCAACACCTTAAAATTTTAGTTTGAATTGGTTCTTTACAAAAAAATATTGCAAAGAAACGATCCTTAGAATATATAATATTGACAAAATATCAATAAGCTACTTTACAATCAGAATTCATTCTAGCTGTGGTGCAGATGAAATTAAATTTTCTGCTAGCAAGCACATGAAATTCTAGAAGCTAGACTCTGCATCAAAAGCAAGCCATTTATCTTATTAAATAAAACTTTTCAAAGCGTAATTGGCATATACACCAAGAAATCACACTTATAATTTTGCAAAGGGTTTTATAAGAGTTATATTATAGGAAAAATGATTGTGTTATGTTATAGAGATTTGTTTTGCGTGTCGAAGTTTTTTTTTTTTTTGCTGTGGGCCCCACAAAATATTGTGTGTGTAAAAAACTTTTTGTAGTCATGTTAAATGATAGATGGTAAACCTTTTTGCAAATGTTATTTAGTTATTCTTTCAGGTGAGGAAGAGTTTGAACTTTTTGATTCGATATGTCTATAATGTATATAGTGTCCGCCCAAAGCATTATGAGGAGTGGAAATCTACAATTTGAATAGCTAGATTATCGAGTTTGGTTTATATTATCATCCTCATCATTTTTGGCTTCTTTTTCGTAGGATGATGCTTTGTCATCAATATCAGTGGCTGATCTCTCTCTCTTTTTTTGTTGTTGCATCATTAAGCCATGTGAAGGTAATGCTTTTTTTTTTTTTTTTTGGAGCTAAGGTAATGCTTTTCTTTATACATGGATTCTCTTCCTTCATGCTTCAGTGTTTTCCATTTATTATATATATATATATATATATATATATATATATATATATATATATATATATATATATATATATAGGGTTTAATTGGGATTGTGATATGATCTTTTTCTAAAAATAAAATTAAAAATACAATAAAACTTGAAAATAGAGTAAGAATAAACATACTAAAGTGCCAATAATCGCACTTTTTATTATGATCTAATTTACCAAGAAAGTTTCACTCGTGCCTCTGTTTTTTTTTTTTTTTAAGGATATCATTACCTTCTATTTTAATAATTAATAGTCAATATTTATCACATACCTTATTTACTAAAAAATGATAACAAAAAATAATAAATAAGTAAGGGAAATAGGTATGTAAATATTAATCACAAATTATTAGAGCACTGATATTCTCTTAAAAATGAACAATAGCAAAGGAGTTTCCATTTATTTGATATTATTTATTCAAAAAAATTAATTCATATTTTCATAATCTTAATAACTATGTAATTATATTTCTTTTCCCGAAAATGTTTATTTTGTGATCAGCCATAATCGGGAACAGCGACCAAAATGTCATGTTTTGTCAAAATTTTTATCAAAATATCACGCCAACAGTATTTTTTACCAGACTGTCACGTGTCATAATTCGCTATCATTGGGAGCGAATTTCGTGGCCAGTAATTTCGTAACACGTGGTCATATTGCAGACCAAATTCGCTACCAGTGGTAGAGAATTATGACACGGTCATGCGAAAGTGTGCCACATGTCAAAAAAATCTTTCGCGAATATAATATGCTACACAAGGTATTACTACCTGCTTGACACATGTCATTTTTGCTGACTGTGCATTCTGACGTGGTATAATTCGCTACACTGTGTAGCGAATTATTTGCAAGCATAATTCGCTATACAGTGTAGCGAATTATCCCACGTGGCATTCTAGAAAAATTTACTGTTGGCGTGACAGTCTGATAATTTTTTTGGCACGACATGGCAAAATGGTCACGGTTTCCCATAACCTATCATGTTTTTTTTTTCTTTTTTCTTTTTTTTGTATCCATTTTCAATTTCTCAAATTTCTTTTCGGATTATTATTTTTTTTTTTGTCCTCTGCGGCTCTGCTTCATTCATTAATAAATCATAAATGAGTTATGTACCAGTTATTATTATTAACTATGAAGGGTTTTATAAGAATTATGTTGTAGGAAAAATTATTGTGTAATGTTATAGAGATTCGTTTTGCGTGCCTTAATTTTTTATTTATTTTTTTGTTTTAAAAAGTGTGGACCCCACAAAATGTTATAAGAGTAGGAAAGTTTGTTGTGTTATGTTAAATGATAAAACGAAAACCCAACTATGAATTGTCCACATAACGTCTTATCCAAAATAGGATTTAAATACCAAAAAAAAAAAAAAGATTAAAAAAGAGAAGGAGAAAATTTGAGTGGCAAAGATGTCCTTTTATAATACCTGTCGCTTTAAAATCACACTGATCTTTTGAATTATAACAATATTATTTTCCATTTTTGTTCTCTTTATGTGTCTCTGTTTCTTAGCTATATACCACACCCTTCTTCAACTTGAAGTTCACTGGGATTCTCTCTCTCTCTGAGATCCGAAAGTTTTCGTTTTTTTGACTCCCAATTTTCCATTTTAATCTCCAGAGTCTGCTTCTTCAGTTTTCTGCTTTCTGCACAACAAAAAACCCAATCTTATTCTGCTCTGAAATCCCAAGCATTTTCCTTATCTGTGCCTCTATTTATTATTTATTATTCATTCCATTTAGCCGCGTTAGTGATTGTCGCCACGGTAGATCTTTCATGATTAGTTTTTTCCGCTGAATATTAGCTTAATTGCTTACAATGATTCATGCTCCAACCTGATCTGTAACCTGGGCATTTTCAGCTACATTTTGGTACTTCCGCCAAATTGTCTTTGGTATATGTTGTTTTTTTGTTGTTTCCTCTTCCGACTTTTCCGTTTCTAATATAATGCTGTTATAGTTTATGTTCCTTTATTTGAATCGCACTTGTTCTTTTAGCCCTCAAACTTTACTGGGTCTATATTCTTGTTAGGCTCTGTTCAAGTTTGACTTCAAAAGTTCTCTCTTTTTTTCCTCCCTTATTTTATTCATTTTTCTTCTTGCGGTTTTTCTTTTACATTTTTATTAACCCCACGTGGTCCGGGGATTCTAGTGCCATTTTATCTTCTGGGTTTGTCGATTTTATGGGTTTTTGAACTTGAAGTGAGAGTTTGGTGATCTGAATTTGAGTTACGATTAGGGGGGGTTGTTGGATGCAACTTTTGGCTAAAATAATTGACGAGTTTTATGCTTAGTTTCCAAGATGCTGCCTGATCAGAGAAAAAAGGTAAAGATACTCAATTGACATACATGAAAACTCATGTGTAGATGTGTGTTTATGTAGCATAATTTGTATTGGATTTTTTGGCTGCTTTTCTTGGTTACATTTTGTGTTGGTTTGTGAGAAAGTTTTCCGTCATTTAATATGTGTTGTCCGCTATTTTAGTTTCCACCGTACATGCAGAGTGATGACTATTCCAATGGATTCTTTCAACAATTTATTTATTGTTTCTCTGTTCATTTCAGTTTCAATATTAATAGGAACAACGAAGCCTTTTAAATGAAACGGAACACGAAATAATAAAACTAGAACAAGTATGCTGCGTTTTGTTTTAACTGTGTACATGTCTTTTTTTGGTTTGTGATCGGTTTCTTGAAAAGCCGATCGCGACAAGTAGCTATGCGGTTTGCTTCATTTTCTTTTTATCCTTATAAACTTAATTATACTTTAGTAAATTCAAAATATTGGATTTAGAAGCTCTTGGAAAGAGAATTTTCATTGTTGTTGGAGAGGAATCCAGTCTAACGTACTCTGGGTGATTTTCTAAGTCTTGTATAAATTAACTACAATGATATTCATCTTCTAAAAGTTTTGAGCTAGTTTTACCCTTCTTTGTTTATGGATGGACACAAACTTTAGATGCTGAGCTTGAAATTTCTTGAATCAAATATATGGAACCTCGTTCTGTTTTCCTTCATTTCAGTTTGTGTTACGGAATACATATCATTTAAATCACATGCATTGCTTTGGCTTTGGCTTTGCTTGGTATCTTCACCAAGTTTAATTCGTTATGTTTATGCAGTCCTCTGTAGATATAGACTTCTTTACAGAATATGGCGAAGGGAGTAGATACAAAATAGAGGAAGTGATTGGTAAAGGAAGCTATGGTGTTGTTTGCTCTGCATATGATACACACACTGGAGAAAAGGTTGCAATAAAGAAAATCAATGACATATTTGAACATGTTTCTGATGCCACCCGGATTCTTCGTGAGATCAAGCTTCTTAGACTCTTACGTCATCCCGATATCGTGGAGATCAAGCATATTTTGTTACCTCCTTCTAGAAGGGAATTCAAAGATATATATGTTGTTTTTGAACTCATGGAATCTGATTTACATCAGGTCATCAAAGCAAATGATGATTTGACTCCAGAGCATTACCAGTTTTTTCTCTATCAGCTTCTTCGAGGCTTGAAGTATATACACACAGGTTAAGATCTTTATATTTATTGAGTTTTTTTGTTTTAGATTTCCTAATGTAGCATTTTCATAGTTAAGGTTTTATTATGAGAACTAGTTGCTAAATTATATTATCATTGTGGCTGATTTTGAAATTTTTAATGGGCTTGTAGCAAATGTTTTTCACCGAGATCTAAAGCCAAAAAACATTTTAGCAAATGCTGACTGCAAACTGAAGATTTGCGACTTTGGTCTTGCCAGAGTGGCTTTCAATGATACGCCCACTGCTATATTCTGGACAGTAGGAATCCTTTCCCCTATGCATACTCACCTTCAACATAGCTCTCCTTCTCAGGTCACCATGCTTATGCCCATTTGTTTTCTCACAGGATTATGTTGCAACAAGGTGGTACAGGGCACCAGAGTTGTGTGGATCCTTTTTCTCCAAGGTTTAATATCTGTTGTCACTTTGATCTTAGATCATTGATCTATTTATCTGATATTACCACTGCTTGGAATATAAAAGCTGGGGCAATCGCTTTCCTCACCCCCCGCTCCCTCTCAGTTCTCTGTCCTTCTTCTCTCTCTCTTGGAGTTTTGTGTTTTATACAATATTTATTATTATTATTATTATAATATTTATTTGTAATATTGATGCCATGCAATGGATCTTTCTCCTACAAAACTATAGAGTTAAGGAAATTTTTTTTTGAATTATACAATGATTTTTTTAAAATACTATCGACAACTTATCACCCCACACTCGCTAGTCGGGTTTAACGGGGAGCGGTTTTTTTTTTTTTTTACTATTGACAACTTATAAGGTTTAAGTTAAACATACAAAAGTACTTGTGTCAAGCCTGTAAGTTATTTTATCCCTCTAACAATGCCTATTATTGTTTATTTGATATGCTAATATTTTCCAATTGAAAGTGTTTGGTTGCAAACTTTATGCATATTTCTTTTGTACTGTTTACTTTGTAATCGAATCAAATAGGATGTTGCTCATGCTTGTGAAATGAAGAGGGATAATGTTTATAATTCTATGATATTTTTGTATATTGGTGATTTATTATTTTGCATTTAGTCAATGTATATGGTTATAAACTTTTTTCTTGCAGTATACACCAGCCATAGACATATGGAGCATTGGCTGCATTTTTGCAGAACTTTTAACTGGAAAGCCTCTTTTCCCGGGGAAGAATGTTGTCCATCAATTGGACCTCATGACTGATTTTCTAGGAACACCATCTCATGAAGCCATTGCTAGGGTATGTTGTTTGTTGCCCATCCTTTTAATAATTTTGTGTGTTTTATTTCTTACTTAATTCATCCTTGCTAGTATATTAACAGGTACGAAATGAGAAAGCTCGGAGATACTTGAGCAGCATGCGCAAGAAGAAGCCAGTTCCTTTCTCCCACAAGTTTCCTAATGCAGACCCCCTTGCTCTTCGTGTGCTAGAAAGAATGCTGGCATTTGAACCTAAGGATCGACCTACTGCTGAAGAGGTTGAATTTCTATCCATCTCCAATTCACTTTCCACCCATCATATTTGGGTTTAACAAGGAATATTTTGTATAAAATTGTTAGGCTCTAGCTGATCCATATTTTAAAGGCTTGGCCAAGGTTGAGAGGGAGCCTTCTGCTCAGCCAGTTACCAAGATAGAATTTGAATTTGAGAGACGAAGGATAACAAAGGAAGATGTGCGAGAGCTTATATACCGAGAGATTCTGGAGTACCATCCAAAGATGTTAAAGGAACATCTAGAGGGAGAAGAGCCAACAGGATTCATGTATCCAAGGTATTATTGTCCAAACTTGCACCCATATTTCTGTTTCACTTTTCTTTTTTTTGCATGGGTTTGAATACTCATTGCAATCTGTATATTTATAAACATTAAACTTCGGTATTTCACCTGATATTGTTACTAAATAATAACACTTGATAATTTTCTCAACATTTTAGTTTTACACTTTTACTAATATCATATGGGTGTTAGGGGGATTTCTTCATCTCCCCTTCTGCATTTACCTTTCTTTCTAATGAGTTCTTCTTTTATCAAAAGAGAAAATTTGATTGTTAGTGTTACTCATAAACAATCCAAGATCTTCTGGTACTACAATTTATGTTTTTTCATCGTCCAACATCGGCTTAAGTTGTTCTGCTCTAGACCCTCAAACATCTTAAGCATTTCTTTTAAATACATAACAATTTGATGTTAATAAATACTTTTGAAAACTTTACCTGAACTACAAATTTGTTGAAATATAAGTTTAACTACAATTTCATGCTTTTATGGTTTTGTAAATTTGTAACCCTAATTTATATCATATGTCAGTTCAGCTTTTGATTTGTTATTTTTTTCCTCTTTTTTCCCCAAAACCTATATTGAATAGTGCTGTGGACCACTTCAAGAAGCAATTTGCATATCTTGAGGAGCATTATGGAAAAGGTGGAACTGTTACTCCACCTGAGAGGCAACATGCATCATTACCCAGGTATCCTAATTTTGTAATGATGTTTCTGGAAAATGTGACTTTCTTCTTTGGCTATTGCTCTTTTATCTTGTCAACACACCCATTTATCTGTTCTTGAATGGCCAACCGTGCTGATTTGAGGCTGTAAATGCAGGCAGTGTGTGTTGTATCCAGATAACTCAAGACAGAATATGACTGAGGTTACAGACAATCTCTCCAAGTGTTGCATCAAAGAAGTTGAGAAGCCAGCTGTAGATAGGACTCGTGGTACCCCTGTGACAAGGCTTCCTTTACAAGCTCCTCAAAATATTCATGGTGTGATGACCGATCTTAGTATGCATTTTACTCCTCCTCCTCTATTTCATTCTTTTACTTTCATACTTCCTGCTTCTCGTATGAGCACGGCAGGCATTATCTTCAAAGAATGTTGTGATACCTGCTGAGGCTTGTTATATGTTTCTGCTTATGTGAACTTTTTCTTAATTCTTTCTTCTACCACGTGATGGGAATTATGTGTGAATGGCTGAAAGCACAAGGATTTGTATTAAAAGAAATAAAGCTGTTTTTTATTAAATTTCTTTTAAATTCTTTTGATGATTTACTATTCGGCATCCAACAGCAGAATGGCTTACAGAATATGGTTATATTACAGATATTAGATTTCATAGACCTAGGTGTTACTATTCTGCTCTCACCCTCAACACATTTGTTCTCCCTTACACCTCTCTCTTGTGTACACTTTTGGTTGTGAAGTTTATTAATACTTAATAGATGCCTCTATTGAGTAGATTTTAAATGTGCTTCTTTCTGTTGTGATTCATTTGCTTCAGGCATTGCTGCACGGCCTGGAAAAGTTGTTGGTTCAGCATTGCATTACAACAACTGTGGGGTAGCAGTGACAGCAAAGGCTGAGCAGCGGAAGATGGTTAAAAATCCATCTGTTTCAGCTCAGTATGCTACTTCAAGCTGTTCATATCCCAGAAGAAACCCAAGCTGTAAAAATGAGAGGGCAGAAGATGGGATTGAAGGTTCTAATGGGCTTCAGCCAAAGCCTCAATACATAGCACGAAAAGTTGCTGCTGCTCAAGGTGGAGCCGGTGGTAATTGGTATTGATTCTGGATATTTTGAAACTGTGGCCAACAACTTGTTGGTGCCAGGCAACTGCTATGTGGGGTTCTTGTCCCACACCGAACCCATCTGAATTGAACAAAATATATGAGTGACAAAACCTTGATTGCTATCATACGGTTGGAGAGCTAAAGGGATTGAAATGTAAACAAGTTTGTAGCTGATGTTTTATTAGATCTTGCAATTTACTTCAACAATTGGAAGGTTGGAAGGTGCCACATTGTCCAATTATGATTTTCTTGCTCTCTAGTTCGTTAATAACATAGAACGAAAGATCTGGAAAGCATGAAATGAAGGCAGTACAGTTGCTGCCACCATATTTGTGCTGTTCTCTTTATTGCAGAATATAATTGGCCTCATATTTGGAGCAGCATAACAATGATATTGTAGTTCTATAGCCCTCCCTACCTGATTGTAGTAAAAATAATCGGTTCTTTCTCAGTAATGTCTCTCTCAAATTTCATCTAGACTGTTAGAAACTGGATTTGGTCCTTTTTTTTTTCTAAAAAAAAACAAAAAAACTCGGTAACATCATAATTTTAATTTGTTAAGATGCTTCACGTGTACGCTTACCGAATCTCGTGCACAATCTCTTAGCAGTTATTAGGAATCTTTGTTTTGTCGCTTTGGCCCACAATTTGTAACCAAAGAGTTGTATGCAGCTGGCTCTCGTCCAAACCCAACCTTTTCTTTCTAGTATCGTGGGATGGGGCTTTCGTGGATAAATTTTAAGGTGAAATGTGGAACATATTGTGTGCACTTAACTCTCAAAAAGTATTACATTATACTCTTCATTTATTGTTGGGATGGCCAGTATTCTTAATCCTTAGTCAATTTAACAATATTATATACAGCATGAAATAATAAAAGTTATACGGCAATCAAATGAAACATTATATCACATTTCATAGGAACTGCCTTTAATACACATTCATCCAAAATGTTTTATATCCTATGATCTCCTTTTATTCTTGAGTTTCCTGTCCCTCGTTGAAAATAAAATTAAAAATCTAGAAAAGACTATTGCAAAAACTGCATAATGATCAAAATCAAACGGACTTCACCAGTGGATTTTCACCCAATAAAAGCTAAGCCCAAATGATTTTAGAATTTAAGAAAAAAAATATAGGCTATTTTAAAAATTTTACTTATAATAAATTTTATTAAAATGCCTTGATTTTTTTTCCCAAATTCCAAAATAATATTATCTCCTGCAATTATAAAATGACTGCCGGGAGAAACGTTAATCACTCAAAATAAATACATTAACGTCATTATGTTTCCATGTAATGTACGCTTAAAATATTTCGCAAGCTAAAAGACAAGGCATGCATGCGTTCAAGGCACCCGAAAAGAATCTAAATGTGGTCCTTATCTTATTTCTTTCCTCACTTTTTGCTTTCATTTTCTTCACTTTTGCCCACGCGTTGTGTAATCTTGTATGTAGGTTCTCTCACCAAGAAAGAGAATGAAAGAAAATTTGGAGTGAAATCAGAGTCAATGCATAGATGGAGACAGCGAATACATTGAAATTGAACTATCTCTATCTCTCCCTTTCATTCAAGAAATATATAAAACCTCATAATAAATATGAATTATTTTTCTAACAAATTATTGGACCGCACAGGCCAGTTGGTATGTGACCCAGTCCAAGTGATTGCTTAGAAATGACAATTAAAGCAATGCAGTTTATGCTTTGTGCATAGAGTTGAATGCTTGTGGCTCCATGTTACAAGGGGATAGGGATGAATCATGAATGATCACAAAGAATATTCCCATGTCTAGTGTACAAAATGGGCAGCACGCATAAACAATGTAAGAACCTTGTTTTCTAAATTTCGAGTCACGTCAGAGGGATAATATAATACCCGTGTAATCCAAGGTATATGCAGGGCAGGGACTCCAATGGGACCCATGGCATGGCACAACCGGATTCTTGTAAATTGTAATCCATAAACCGAGTTTCTTGAAAGGAAAAGAGACAACAAAGGCACACAAATGGAAAAGAGTCATATGCTAATTAGAGGATGATGTATGAAGAGACGGATACTCGAACGTTTGGTCTTTAATAATAAAATCATAATCATCAGCTGATCAGAAACTAATAAATGACAATAAGCTCTTACGCTTTATTCAATTATATGTTTTATTATAAGATGATTAGGTGGCAAACTACAACTCACCAAACCAAGTCAACACTTTTGGATTGAGATATACATAGATGCATTGTCGGATTCGAAGAAATATAGAACACTATGACTAAACGTTGGCTAGTTCCAAATTAAAGTCTCCTCGTTTCACAGGCTTTTGACCTAGGAAGCGAGGGAAGAAAAGAGAGTACATGTGGGATAAGATATTGTTACTGTGAAAATTTATTAATTAATTATTAATTCGTAATAAATGATAACGGTTGATTGACGAAAATTATCAGTTAAGATATAATAGTTTCGTTCTTTAGTAGTAATAATATTCTATCTCAAATTTTATATATATAATACTAAGAGAAATATTTTTCTCATGTTGTATAAGACAATGTCTCATGCAACACACAAAAAAGTGAGTGTGACCCACTTTTTTTCCTTTCTCTCTCATCTTCTTAGTGGATCTCACTCACTTTTTTGTGTGTTGCATGAGACAATGAGAAAAACATTTCCCTAATACTAAATTATGAAATAATAAACTTTTTGTTTTTAAAATGTACTTCTATCTACGATCTAAACCGGTGACGGTGAGGTATAAAATACAATATATATAATTAAAAAAATGTGTATATTAATGGGATAACGACGAGTTTCATAATTTGGATGAGGACAACCTACGCACTTAATATGCCTAGGACGTACTATCCCTACCTTGATTCTTCTAACAAGAAACTTTCTGGAAATAAAAGAAAAAGGCAACCTTTACAAGAGACAGAAAGAGAAGGAAGTTAACCCTTTCCGCAAGTTAGTACGTAGATGTGCTGAAAAAGCATAACCAACTGAGAGAATTGGCGTTAAGAGAAGCTTAGCGTTACTCTTTTTCCAACATGGCACAAAATAAGCGTGCCGCCTACGCTTGCCATTCTCATTCTTGTATAAAATTCACGTTTGAGCTCACAATTCTCTTCAACATTCATCTCTCATTGTCTTCAAACTTCAATAGATACAAACATCTGCTTTCAGTAGTTGCAGCTCGATATAACATTACCATGGATCGTAGGCTTTCTGTGGAAGGAGAGGGAAGCATTCATCTACAAGTTGGTAAACTCCAAAGGCTCAGGCTCAGCGAAACCGTTAGCATAGGCACCACCATGTTTGAGCCACGTGGCCTTAGCAGCATCGAGAAGTTAGACAGTAGCAATCTCAATCCTGTCTCTACAACAACCTCAGCTGTTCGAGCACCAGAAAAGAAGCTGACCCTCTTTGCTCTCCAGCTTGCTGTGTTTGAAAAAGCAGCAACTGGGTTGGGAACACTTGGTTTTATATGGGCAACCGTTGTCCTTCTTGGTGGTTTTGCTATTACCTTAGTCAAAACCGACTTCTGGTTCATCACCATTATACTTGTAGTTGAGGGGGCTAGGATTTTCAGCAGGAGCCATGAGCTTGAATGGCAGCACCAAGCCACATGGTCAATTACTGAAGCTGAAGCTGGAATCAATAATTTCCAGGAGCAGAAGTCCAGTTCAAATTCCCTCCTTGAAAGTATAAAGAGCCTCTTCAGGCCAATTGGTACAGTCACAGATGGGGCTACTGAGTTAACCCCACGGTACAGGGATACCCCAAGGACACCAACTCGGGTGTGGATTAGCTCAGAAGTTCCACTTCTACCATATACTAAATGGGTTTTTCTTTCAAGACATGTCAGTAGGCTTCTCTACTGGCTTCAGCTTATTTCTGCAACAGCTTGTGTGGTTCTCTCATTAATGAAGCTCATCAAGCATGATTATGGAGAAGTGGCAAAGGGAGACACTGACAAGAGGAACCTCCGATCTGCTCTCAATATCTTTTATGCCTTGGCTCTTGCAGAAGCTTTGTTGTTCCTAATGGAAAAAGCTTACTGGGAATGGCAAGTCAGCTACTGCAAACTGTTGGAAGAGGTAAACAATGAGTGTGAATTGGGGCCATCAGGAATGTTGTCCATTAGAAGGTTCTTTTATGATGCATATTCAAGATGTGTCAATGGAAGCATATTTGATGGCTTGAAAATGGACATGGTGAGTTTTGGTATGGATCTCTTGGCTTCAAACTCCCCTGATGAGCAGCTCATTGGAGCAAGAATTCTTAGGCAGTTTTCAATCAGTGAGAGATTTTCTGATGACACGCTTCAAAAGATTGGAATTGCCATATCAGTGGTAGAGAGACTAGTTGAGATGTTGAATTGGACAGATCACAAGGATGAAGAAATTAGGATGTCAGCTGCAGAGATTATATCAAAACTAGCTGACAAAAAGCAGAACTCTCTCCGCATATCTGGGATACCAGGTGCTATGGAATCAATATCATCTCTTCTGCAAACTAATAGGAGTTTTATTCCTGCAGCTGATGAAATTGGGGAAAAGAAACTCATATTTGATCATCCAAATTATGGGTTCTGGTCATTTAACCACTTGGGACTCCTCATACTGAAAAAACTTGCACGTGACCATGACAACTGTGGAAAGATTGGAAATACAAGAGGCCTCCTCCCAAAGATCATAGATTTCGCACATGCTGAAGAAAGGTTGCTGAAGAGTGAAAATGTTACTCCATCTCAAGTTCTGACAGTGAAGAGATCTCTGCAACTGGTGAAGATGCTGGCTAGCACAATAGGCATCACTGGGAAACATCTTCGAAGAGAGATTTCAGAGGTAGTTTTTACGTTCAGCAACATTAGAGATATTTTAAGGCATGGAGAGAAACATCCCCTTCTACAGAAACTGAGCATAGAAATTTTAACTAGTCTGGCATTGGAAGAGGATGCAACGGAAAGAGTTGGGGCTACAGGTGGAGTACTTAAAGAATTGTTCAAGATATTTTTCAAACACAGTACACCAGAAAATCAGAAACATGTAGCAATTGTTGCTGGTGAGGCCCTTGCAATGCTTACATTAGAAAGCAAGAGTAACTGTCATCGAATTTTGAAGTTGAATGTGCTGGAAAGGCTTGTAGAAGCATTGAAAGATCCACTACTTCGTGTCAATGCAGCTAGAATTCTAAGAAATTTATGCACATATAGTGGATCACAATGGTTCAACCAGCTAAAGGGGACAACAGCTGCAGCACCCACAGTAAGTGTTATTCTTGACCATTATAATTTTGTGTGAGCTTTGCATTATGTTTTTATCCATTAAAAATTTACAAAGATGAAAAACGTAAGAAAGAAAATCTCGATCATTTTTGTAACCATTTCTCAACCCTGTAGATACTTGAGGCAATCATGTCAGAAGAAAACAAGATACAAGAAGTAATGGTTGGACTAGCAGCAAATGTTTTCAAATATATGACTTCTCATGAATCAAGCATAGTATTTGAAGAAGCTAGAATCAATGAGGCTGAACTTGCAAATAAATTAATTCAGATTCTCAAGAAACACCAGCGTCCCTCAACTAAGGTCCCAAGGATAAGGAGGTTCGTAATAGAGCTGGCGATTTGGATGATGAAAGACAAAGCAGAAAACATAAATACCTTAAAGGATCTGGGAATGGAGGAGGTATTGGAGGGTGTCTTAGAGACCACATCAGAGCTTGAAAGCTTTAATGTTTTCTCTGGTGTTGTTGGACTGAACCGCCACAATGTAACAACTCAGTCACTGATTGAAACAGCAGTGGAATTGATGGAAGATAGGTAAAACAATTTCGATCTGTTATATTCATTATTTTTCCAGATTCAATATTATACTTGAAATAAATTATTGAATTTTTCCATCTGTTAGAAAGAACATTGCTTCCTGGCTCCTGCTTCAAAAATGTTTAATTTCTAATTTTTTTTGTTTATAAATATATCAAGGTTAACAAGGATTATTATTCTATTGCACATAGGTAAGACTTAATCAGAAAGCACACCAGGGATTGCAATTACAGTCCAGTGGCTTTTGTAGATTCTGTAAAAACTGGATTTTACTTTTTATATATTTAAAAAAAAAAAAAATATTTGTCATTTTAAATTACATAAAATTATGTCATTTCAAGAGAGAGATAAACACAGAATAAATTTTTTTATTTTAAAATTTAAATTAAAAAAAAAACTACTCACTTTCTCTCCATGATTTTCATTCCTTGCCTATCTCTCTTTTAAAATGATATAACTTTTGTCATTTAAAATTACAAACATTGAACCCTTTTGATGCATTGTTTTTAAAAAAAAATTACACATCATATAATATATTTTGCCACGTCATTCAATGAGTATAAATAATGTGGCAACACATCATTGTAGAGCATATAAATTAAATTCTAAAACATAAAACAGATAAGGTTTCGATTAAGTAAAGTCTTGGATTGAGTCTTATGCCTCCTTGGAGTTGGAGTCCTGCTCGACTTGTCTCCAAATTAATTGAGACCTAAGTGGGTTTTATAAACCGAGGGGTTCAAATAAATAAATAACTGATTTTATCCATCAACGTTATACGTGAGATATTGTTCATAAGGACAGGGACAGATTCAAGGGCGAGTGTGGACCCTAGCCTCCCTCTTAATATTTTTTATAAATATATTTAGTTTTTTATTAAAAGAAGAAGAAGAAGAAGCTGTGGTTCGGCGACGCACTGATGCTTACTTGACTTTTTCTCGATTAATATTTAAATATTTTTATAACTTTAATTTGACTTATATTTTTATTTAATAGATTATAAAAAAAATTCACATTCAACCCCTTTTATGTTTTCCGGATTCGTTCCCCGCTTAATAAAACCCATAAACAAAATCTATAAAAAAAATTATGTGACAAATTGTGAAGCTAAAAAAAATTTAATTATCCTTAGGTTTTACATTTACTATATGTTAAAATATTTCACTCTGTCAAATATATGACTTTAAAATACTCAGAATAAAAAAAATAAAAATACTAAGCAATAGAATAGTCAATTAACTCGTTCCGTGCCAAAAAATTTAGGCTAAATTACATGTTATCCCTTGTACTTTGGTCACTTTTTAAAAGACCATTTTTTACTTTTAATTGTTGCATTTAACCTTCTTGTACTATGTAATTTTAACAATTAAATATATCTGTTAAAAAATTTCAAACTCTGTTAACTAATTACGTGCTTCTTTTCCTCATTATCTAATAACCCAAAAAAAAGAAAAAAAGAATTCTTAATTAGAGAAACGCAAAAACCTGATAATGAAACTAAAGCAAAGCTGGAGGCTGGGGTTCCTTTCTTCTCAGACAGTGGAAGTGAAATTGAAGAGATGTTTGTTGGTATTGGGGCACAAAGGGTGATGGATCTTTCTTTTGCTGCAAAAAAGCTTCCGCCTTGTGTAATCTTCATTGATGAGATTGATGCTAGTGGAGGTACCTGAAATCCCAAGGACCAAATGTACATGAAGATGACTTTAAATCATATGCTCGTTGAGCTAGAAGGATTCAAACAGAATGGAGATTAACAATATATACTCATAAAAATTTATTTGTAGATTAACAATATATACTCAGAAAATCTCATTTAACTGGTTTTGTTACTATTTTTATAAACTTTCCTATGTGTTTGCAATGAGATGAGTTATTGGTGTTTATGATTTTTAAATAAATTTACCTTTTTATTAACTTTTGATTGAATAGGTATTCATATATTTTTCTATACTTTCTCTAAACAGCTAATACTTATCTACATGTATTATATGCAGTGGTAATCATAAACTGTTATGAAATAAGTTCTTATTCAGTATGCAAAATGATGTTAAGGGCTTATGCAACAATGCCATAGAATTAAAAGGCTGTTAAAATTTCAAAAGTAAACAATTATAGGTTTGGAGTTTTTGACTATGTGAGTCCCTGAAAGTCCACTTGATAGTTAAAGTTGTAGTCAAGCCAAACATAATATGACAAATTCACAAAAAATTCAACAATACGAACCATGCTCATGATACTACTTTGTCTTAGTTGAAGCTTGTTACGGTTTTGTGAAAATTAGAGAATGCGACAACCCCATTTGTATTTATTCAGAGTACAGAACAACAGTGGTTTTATCTAGTTAAACTTATCAGATTAAAATATCTTTTTCTTATTCATATTCGATCAAATCTTACGAAAACCACTAATACCGATTTTTTTAAGTAATTTTATCTGTTTGAATCATTTAACAAATACCCATTAAGACTTTTTTTTTTTGGGTACATTGTCCCCATTAAGACTTTATTGATGTAGAAATGGAACAACAGTTCGAATGCAAAATTAAGAGTGTTCCTGCACATTAAGTTAGCAGATGCTAGAGGGAAGATACTGCATTATTCCAAGGTGACAAAGACAACCGATGTCATTCAACCGTTCATGAGAAGCAATGCTACCATCATTATGAAGAGAAAGTACGACCAAAAAAAAAGTGTCTATCGAGTAATAAGGATGAACATAGTTTCAATTATCGGGTTCAAACCTTGAGTGTTTTCAACATTTATCTAATTAAGAATTCTTTTCTTTTTTCTTTTTCTGTTTTTTCTTTTGTGGTTATTAGATGATGAGGGAACCATTAAGGAAACATGTGAATAGTTAACGGGATTTGAAAAAATTTAACGGATATTCTTAATTGTAAACATTACATACATTACATAGTACATGGAGGTTAATTGCAGCAATTAAAAATAGAAGGTGCTCTTTTGAAAAGTGATCAAAGTACAATGGGGTAACATGTAATTTAGCCAAAAATTTAACCGACAAGCCATTGACTTGTTAGGCCATGTATTTCAAATTCAAACACACCAAGTGTTCGGGCAACTTGTATAATATAATAAAAGGTAAATAAAAGGATGAGGCATACTAAATAATAAGATGCTGCATATCAAAAAATAAAAAATAAAAAAATCAGAGTTCAACTATGTTCTAGAATTTGTATGTTTGAATAAATAAAGGATAATCTACATGCAGATTTGTTGGATCCCAAGGTGTGTACAAATTCAAGGCCTAACAGAAAGTACATGGGAATCCACTCTCTGCAATGGTTGGATACATTCATAATAGTCTTTTTTTTAAGAAAATGCATCGGGAAACACATCTTGTTAAGAGCATCATGCATAACCTTGAAGCCAATACTGAGAATAAAAGATGAGAACATCCAGAATCTTTGTTCAAATGATAATGTACTTTTTAAATTCATAAAACAAAAACCAAAAATGCCAATTATCACTTACAGTCAAAGAATATTGGATGATTTGTTAGATAAGAATCTAAACACACTAAATTTACACACGAGCAACCTATTTCTTTGGTACAAACTATGATTTTTTATAGTTACAAAAACAATGTAAAGCCAACCATGATAAAAGAGAATCTCTCATCTTACCGGTTCTGACTATTTTTAAAAAAATTGAAATCCCAACGACGCATTAAGCCGTCCATGACGTGGCCTGCAGGATTCCTAACAACTGTTACTGTGGCTTTCGTATTATGCGATATGTCAGTGTCTGAAGAACTTTGTAAAGTAGCAGAACTATCACAGCGAGCTGAATCACTTGAATTGCTGGACTCAGTTACTGATGATGTTTCCGATGGTGATGATGGCGGCGGTGGCAGCTGCAGTGCTCCCCCTAATGAAGGACTTGGTACTGGACTTTGCTTGGACGCTAAATTTTGGGAATGGTTCACTGAAACGGAATTTGACTCAGTTTTCAAAGGTACACATTCTTCTGATGCAAAGGAAATGGTTTTAGATTTTGAATCTGTGTTGTGTTTGACTAATAAGGATTCTGTCTCCATAGGTTTAGAAATCTCCTGGGAAGAAGCACGTGAGTCATCTTTATCTGATGGCCCTACAGACACGGTACTAGCCGGTGGTTGTTCTGCCTGTGGATTTCGTACTTCCAGGTCCTTCAATGACTCCATCACTGCTTCCATGAACATCTGAATAACATGGACAAATCAAAAGTAAATAAAATCCAATTGTTCATCCCTGCATTTATGTCATCAGGTATTTAGATTATATAAATCCATCATGTTGACTCACTCTTTCTTCCTCCTCTGCGCTAGATGGAAAACCTGCAAGGTCATCAAGAGGATATTCCACAAACTGATCATCATCCAACGCGGTTGGAACATGGGGACCATAGGGATGACCATTTGACAATTCAAAGCTTATCATTGATGAGGACGATGGGGAAAGATCACCGCACTTCTTTTCCTGCTGTCCAATATTATCATGCAAAATGTGAGACTCTGGTTCATTTATGTGTTTGATCTCCTCTTCCCTTACTCCTCTGACCATACTTCTTTTTTGCTTATTTATTATTTCAGTATTTTTCCCCTAAAGCTAGATATTTTTTTTTATTTTTTTTTTGTAAATAAAGCTAGATATTTAAATATATCACATTCTTGAAGCTCAGGCACTGGCCCCACCTAGGTAGTTTGTACACACTAGTAGTGGCCACCCACCATGTGTAAAAATAAAAATTGTATTTGTACAAAAAAGGAAATAAAAATTATATTAACACAACTTCCCCCTTTTTTATGAAAATTGAAAGTTAAACAAGAAATGATTTATAAACTTTTAAACTGTAAAAGATTTTTTTTCGATGTGGGGAGTAGATGTCAGAAGCGGGTCTATGTCTCAACTTAGAATAACAATTTTCTTCTGTCTTGAAAGTTAAACAAGAAATGAAACTGATTACCCCTAAAAAGGAAACTAGAATATTCGGGAAGAGAAAAATGGAAAACAGCCCAGCAAGTACCCTTCGTATATATTATATGCCACTTGGTATTTATATTTATCATAAGCGTTCCAGTATATCATAAAAACACATTCCATGCAATTAAAAACACATTCCATGCATACATTGCATGTGACCCATCTTACAGACAAAACTGAACTTGTTAGAGGGGTGAGGGAGTAAATGTTTCCTTTGAAGGGTGAAGTAGATCGATGTAACAATGACCAGTGAGGCAGCAGTATGGACTACAACTCAAAGATGGTCACTGTTGGAGTCTCAGCTCAGGCAAGCTGGGATCAGGGAGGTGATAAAGCTCGGTTATGGCTGGTGAGTGATAATTTCAGCAGAGTTTTAGCAAGGAGAACAATGGTGAAGAAGATGACTCTTTTGAGAAAGAACGGAGATATATATAGTGGGATAAAGATTCCCCTATCATGTATTATGTGATGCCATAACTGTTTTTCAGCCTTGTGGGCCGTGTTGAGGCATAAGGCTGCATGACTCCTCGCTTGTAAAGATCAAGCATGCCTGGGAGTGAAGGATAATCAGGTATAAAGGGACTACTTGTCCTCAAGTGAGTTGATGAGATGTTTCTAATGGGCAGTCCAAGGCGAGTCCCAGACAAGTCTATCCGACTGGACCAGAACAAAAACATTACTTTATTGTATATTCCCCTAAAGCAAATCATTATTGGATTAACAACTTAGAAAGAGAATGCTGGTGACAGAAAAGCTTTTGATACTGAAAACACACCTCTCTGTAGGCCGTTGAATGTCAGCAGTGTGTCAGATCCATATCCATGGGCCTACAGATGGGTGTGTACTTTTGGGAGACTTTCTTGGTTGTCTCACAATGATTACACGTTTAGCAGTGGCAATTACAACAATTTTAGCAAAGACAGAAAACGAGAGGATTCCATATACGCACTCTTTTTTTTTGGTAATCTAGTTACTCATTGAGTTACCACCCACCAATATTCCACTTTGTGTGATTCCTGATAATCTTATCCTGTACTACACATGTACCATAGCCATGCATGCCACAGTGTACAAAAAATTTACAATGCGTATGAAGAAGGAATTAAAGAAAGTTCAGTACAGCGAAAAGAAGGGGAAAGAAGTGAAAAGGAGGTACCTCATGTTCACGATGCTCATCTTTTGAAGAAATATCAGATGGAACCTGAGTAAAGTCATACATGATACAATATTACTTCAAAAAATCAAAAACTAAAAAACACGCCACTAGAAGAGTTTAAACAAAATTGAAATCATCATATAGCACAAACAGCCAAATATTCCCTGTCCATGCAGTTACATTTTACAGGTATCGATATAAAGGATTATAGCTAACCGCTAGAAAACTCTCCCCTACTGTTTGCAATATGCAACTATCTACATTTAATATTCAACACGCGAGTACTCTCGTACAAGAATTTTTTTTAAAGGTTAAAATGTATTTTTGGTCCTTATAGATGAAACTCATTCAATTTGGTCCTTATACGGAAAAGTTTTCAACTTAGTCCCTTTGTACAATCATTTTTGAGGTCATCTTTGCCGTCTATGGTTGTCATAACACCATGAGATTGACATGCAGTAATTATGAAACATAGGGACCAAATTAAAAGTTATTGTCATGTATAAGGATAAAAAATATAATATTTCCAGCAACTATAAATGACATTCATTTTCAATGGACTGTATTATGACAGCAACAGATGGCAAGCACCAAATTGGAAACAATTACATGTATAGGGACTAAATCGAAAACTTTTTCATATAAGGACTAAATTATAAATAAGTGTCACATATAGTAAACCAAAATATATTTTAACATTTTTAAAAATACATGGTACATTTCCTCAGCCAACATATTTCCATGCTATTCTAACGATAAAGTAAGAGCTAATAAATACAAACCTCCATCCTACTCATCGGTCGTCTTGAACGGACTTGCTTAATGGCATCTATTGTACTGCAAGTTGATGATTCTGTATCTGACCAAAAAAAAAAAAACAAGTAAGAGATTTGCAAAACGAGAAGTAACCAAGAGCAGATCCTCATAGAAACCAGTGCGGAAGAAATAGTTAAGGGAAACTAGGTACTTGAGTCATGCCTTTGTTTTTGGATGATGATTCATTGCTATAGCCTAATTCATGCACAGATCTCCAAACATCCTGAGTAAAAACAGTCATTTTACAAAGATGTACAAGAGGGAACATTGCAATTATATCAAAATGGAGCCAATGGATGCATTGCTGATTTTACCTTACCAAAGTAATCGTTCACGGTCTCAAAAATTGATTCCCCAACCTCATCCTCTGGAGGTTGCAAAACATTGTGAAAAAAGATGTTTATGGAATCAAAGTAAAACTGAGGACGAGGAGAATTGTGATCTCCCTCAAATTTAATTATGTTTTTGTCTCCCTGCAAAGCACAGACAGCCATACTAAAGATCCAAAGGGCATGAAAACTTCATTTCAGATAAAACAAAGACCAAATGAAATAGCATATATAGATTATAATTAGAAAGAACATAAGAGACCCCAAATGCATCCTGTCTAAGCAACTTTAAACTTGCACAAGATATATTTTATAGTTTCAAACACATCAAACATGCTCTAAAGGCCTACAAAATGACATGAGGACATAGCCTAACTCAACAGAACAGGAAGTTTAGTTATGTAAATTACAAAATAAATAAAAAATAATAAATTCTTATAGACATACTTACCATATAAGCCTCAAATATACTATCAGAGTGGTGAGGGTTTATAAAATCATCATCAATAGCATGCCCAAGTAGAGCTGGTACAAAACAAGATTTTGCCACCTGAAATGCAAATAAATAATGAATTAATATGATGGAGAATTATAAAAAATATGTAATACCAAAAGGAATACAATTTTATTACTTTTTCCCCAAATATTTCAATAAACTTTTGCATTCAGTTCAGAATATATGTTTTTCTACAAGATTTCTATGCTTTTGAATGCCCCATGAAGCCATATATGCTCAGGAGGACAACAAATTGTACTCATCATTTTATTTTTTGACTGTTTATTTTGCATTATCTGCACAGAATTGGATCCCACAAACACTTAATGTTGCATGTGGCCGCAGAGTGTATGGGACACAAATCATTAGTCCTTAGCAAGTACTCAATTAACGGTACTGTGATCCACAGGTTTAGCAATTAGCATAATTTTTTTTTGAAAATACACACCTTAAAGAGGACTCCGATTAAAATTCTATAAATTTTGGGTTTAGCAATTAAGAAGCAAGAAAGACAAGCATAAGATGCAAGACACCTCCCATTTATGACAAAAAAAATCCTTCATACTGCATATTTTCTTCTGCACTTTTAACTAGTTGAAACTATGTACCCCTTTAAAATCTCATCCATTGACTAGCAAAGGTTTCTCCACCTATTATAATCACAATTGATGAGTTAATTTACAATAAATTCAGCCCAAATTTGTAGGCAATATATTTATGAATTGCTGAGTAAATTATGTATAAACTTGAAAATTCATATCTCTGACAAGTTAATAAGTGTATAGTATCCCCAGAAAAAAGGAAACCAGATGTATTTATATAATTTCTTCAAGTTCAAGCTAAAAAACAAAGTTTGTTAACTAAGCGCAACTGCTAGTGGCAAATTTAACTTTTATATTGAAAAATAATGAGGGAAAACAAAGAGGATAATAGCCTATCACTTTTTTTTCCATCAAACCAATCAATCATTTCATACAACAAGGCAAGAAATAGTAATTTCTTGCATTAGAAAACTTCTACCAAAAAATAAATACATAATAACAAGTAACAACAGCTACAATAATCAAAAGAAAAACACCTTAATGGTATTGAGATCCATTATGTCAAATTTTGCCTTCTTTTGGATTGCTCTTCGCATGTACTGGATTGCAAACTTCACCTGCAACAAGAAAAATGAAACAAAATCAGCACAGTAAGTGATGGCACTGACAATTTGTTCATTAGTTGCACAAATAATGATTTATCCATAAATGGTTGAGTGCACTGACAATTTATTCGAATGACAAGAACAAAACAAGTGATGACGTTAAATCAGGCGCTAGCCAGATATGTAATGTATTTAAATTTTTCATTATAAGATCTAGATATACTTGAACACAGCAAATTTTACATATTTGCCACCCTCTTAACAATATTAATAATCATTTGTGGCAGAAGCTACCATAATAAATTGAAGGTTTGTGTGAGTGAACGAAAGTAGGTAATGCAACCTCTTCGTTAGAAGCTTCAAGGACCCTAGGCATGTTATGGGTTTTCCTACAAGTTATCAGAATTCCTAACACTGCGTATGAAATACTAATAGCTTGTTTGACCAAACTTTTGCACAGCTTTAATAATAACTTTCTATCAGAGGTATTCTCATCTTCACCCAAAAAAGGAGTAACATATACTCACAGTGAACTTTGGCAGACGGACTTTATAAGTATCAACAAGTTCCATCATCAAATCAACCAAATCAGAGAAGGGACTGTCTAAAACCATCCCCGCAATTGAAGGATCCTCAGCTCCATACATAAGACTGCAAGTAAACAATCATTATGGCACAAAGAAAAGCCTTATAAATTAGCCAAAATGGTAACATTGAATGGCTACGTAATCGAAGGGTTCATAAATTGAATACACATAGCAAGGAGAAACATTCAAATCAGAAGGGAATAAACAATAACATAAGTTTCTGACCGCCCCCTCCCCCCCAAAAGAGAGAGAGAGATCATTTCCACAAGTCTGCACAGATAGGGAACTGCCAACTACTTTCCTAGTTCAATTAAGCAATACATGAATATATTATCAGACAGTAATCATTTGAAGAATATAGACAATCTATTATTGAAGAATATAATGATAGATAAACCTCTTTTCGAAAGCCAATTTGGTCACCATCTAACAGACAGTAATCCATTCATTCTAGTTGCCTATAACCATTTCCAAATAATAACAAAATCTAAATGGAATAAGTATTTAACAATTTAGTGAAAACTTCTTAGTAGCAATTTACGGCAAGAATTGAATCACTATGAAAAAAATAACAACATCTTGCTACAGTGCTACACAAACGCATGTTCACTAGAAAACTTTTCCTAAACCTCATTCCAAATGCAAGTTCAAACGAAAAAATGAATGATGAAAACCCACCTAGTTACAGCTCCCATTGAGCGGCCCCACAATCCAATCAAAGAGACATTTCCATCATCCCGCAGATAGTTGACCACTGCCCTCAGATCATCCTTCTGAGAACAGTCAAGAATGTCAAACAAACAATCACTTCATAATAAAGAATGAAAACAAAGCAAATGACAGTAATGCATATGTAAACTCCCAGCACAGAATAAACTCAAAATATTTCCTGTTCTACTGTGACAGAAGAAAATTGTGAAAAAAAAATAAGGATAAGTGTCCTGCCCAAGCATATGACAAGTTTTATATTTTCCACTGATGATATAGACATAGTACTCAAAAAAAAATTTGCTAAATTTAACTTGGACTAATAATTTTGGATTGAACTTGCAAAAACAGTGTGAGTTCTTGAACCTATCTTTACTAATGTGTCTTGTGTCCAATCTGCATGCAAGATCACAGAAGGCAGAAAAAGAAGTACGAACTTGTCAATTAGCCCTTCCATTTCTTGCGCTTCTCACATTAACTCATAACAATGACAGGACAAAGATGGAGAAAATTACCCCTCCCCACAAGAGTAGATACATGACACAGTTATAAGACTTAACTATATCAAGGATGAAACAGCCATATATGATATCTTTTAAAAAGGTTATTGAGCAAGCACTCACCTCATTCCAGCCTAGAGTGACATGCTCCCCTCCAGAAAGTCCAGATCCCGAGAAATCCAAAGCAAAAACTGTAATATTTGAAGGAAGCAAAATTATAGCAGCTTCACTGGCATCAGCCCTACATCCACTGTCATAAACATTGAACCCAGTCAGCACGGCCCTATATAATTGAAATCTATAAACTATGCAACACCAAACAAACATACACCAGCGAAGAACCCCTTATAAGACATTAAAATTTATGAGCCTCTAAATTTCATATAATCAAAGTCGGAAGTGTATAATTTTAGTTCAGAATGTGTTTTAAACTTGGAAGGAAAAAAAATGTGCTATATAGATCATATAACATTCAATCCAACCAACAAGATTTGACAGTTCCTACTATATCAGACCAAGCAAACTAGATAAGTATAATTGAATCTCATATTTATCATTTCTTTTAATTCTAATTTTATGCTGGATCATCTATAATATCTGTTCCTATGCACAAAGGAATGTAAAGAGAATATACTATTTATCAGTCAAAAATATTATATTCAAAATTACACAATTATCTGTTAGAGAATAGTATAAACCATTAAAAGCCCTCACCCACAAGCTTAAGCTTTTGGGTTGAATTGGTTTTTTACATGGTATCAGAGCCTCGTGTCCCGGGCTCGATCCTCACCGCCCCCCACTTTTTCTTGTGAAATTTTCTTAACACAGGTAGGTGGGCCTGTGTATTGTCTACCCTTCAAGCTCAGTGGGCTTTCGTGTGAGGGGTCGTGTTAGAGAATAGTATAAACCATTGAAAAGCCCTCCCACTAGCTTAAGTTTTTGGGTTGAATTGGTTCTTTACATTATCATTGTAATGTGAAAATACAGCAATTCCAATACAATCACCTTGTCAAACCTATGACATGTATAAATCTATAGAGCTACATAATATTTAAAATAAAACTGAATAAGAAAAGGCTTGATATATTATGCATGCAAGTTAACTTCTACTTATAAGAAATACATAGTTTCGATACAATCACGGGTTCAAACCTATGACATGCATAAGTCTATACAGCTGGAAAAAAAAAACCACTGCCTATTAAACCCTGACTACTGAAGGTAAAAGTGAGGGCAATCATTGTACTTAGTCTTACCTTTGCTTTGCAAAGAGACTGTTTCTCAGATTCGAATCTATGACCTTTCAGTCACAAAGGAACAACTTTACCATTGCTCCAGGCTCGCCCTCTTAAATCTATACAACTAAAAAAGACCACTCCCCATTAAACCCCGACTAGCTAGGGTAGGGGTGAGAGCAATCTTTATACGCAGCCTTAACTTTGCATATCTGCAAAGAGACTGTTTTCCGGATTCGAATCTATAACCTTTCGGTCACAAAGGAACAACTTTACCACTCTCTAGGCTCGCCCTCTTTAAATCTATACAGCTAAATTAAAAAAAAAAAAAAAAAACACTGAATAAGAAAGGGCTTAATATATTACATATGCAAGTTAACTTCTAGTTATAAAATATACATAGTACCCCAGTAGAAAATGTGCAAAATAATTAATTGTTGAAATTTCTCAAAGTGCAAGTATCAATCAATCAAATCCATTTTCTCATAATGAATAAAAAAATGAATGTATACTAAGCTAAACCATTTGTACAAATAACAGACAACGTGATTACATAGACCTGTTTTTTATAGTAAAAAGTAAAAAAGGAAAAAGGAAAACACAGTCTTTAAAGGAGAATCTGAAATTCCCAGAAAAAATTTGAAGTTTCAATGGAACTTTTCCAAATGACAACTTGTTTGCTAACCAAAACAAAAAATATAAACCACGGTCACCTGTTTCCATGACAATATATTACACATGGCAGAGGCTTTCCTTCAGGACTGACTATGGGAATGTAATGGCTGCATTGAAGAACATCACCCCGACTGTTTTTTATCTGCAGAATATCAAATATTACATGATAGGCTGACCATGCAGGTTGTCAACAAAAATAGATAGAGAATGACTTAATTAATAAAAAAAAAACATTTATGATAGGGAAAAAATCAGTGAATTCAACAAGAAAAGAAGTTTTAGAATATCACATACATGTATTTTATACAAAGTAATCACCACACTATTTTAAGATACAAGTTCAGTTGAAATTTATTTTGATATTTTTTTCTCGTCCTACTATATAGTTTCAATGTTTAAATGTAACAAACCCATTCTTTGGTCCAGACATTCTAGGTAAGAAACACTTCCTGTAGCAGTTTTCAAGAAGAACAATAAAACAACTGAGGGATGAAACAAATTATGAAACTGTATCAACTTTCCACATAAAAGCTACAGCTTCATGATTAGAACAATGTTCAATCATATTATTGACATGTCCTCCAGGGTATATGTCAATATCAAGTCTACTCTCAAATTTAATGGTGCTGCAACAATTTTACAGGTTCACAATCCTCATCAAAGTCAACAACGGCCTGCCTAATGGATCTCTCTTTTGCCACTAATTTTTTCTACTGATGGTGATCACTTAGAGGAATTTAAGAAAAAATTATTAGGAAGGCGAAGACAGTAATTCTGTAATTGAAGGTTCAGATTCTTAAATCCATTATTGGTGAACTGTGAAATAAGATAAAAATGTTTGAATGCATTTCCACATAGCCAATGCTAAAAAAATTATACTGCCATGCTGAATCCTATTTCTTTTATCCTTACCTCTACATCCTTCCGTTGATACCATTTCCCTTTCAGCATGAACTCTTGATCCAATAAATCACTTTTGGGGTCATATTCAGCTCTGCATCCAAGTAATGCATACAATCACAATAATACAATATTTAAAGTTGAAGTTAAATTTGAAATGAAAGTAGTTCGACTAAACTAGTGAGGCTTGCAAACAACACAAGTCAATTCATCTTTAGGCCATAATTGCACGGAGATGGCCTGAAGTAGGAGTATGTAGTTAATCTGCGACAGGCATATTTCATACAAGTGCATAATATGCATAATTCTGTCACAACGCCTATATTGCAACTGGGCTCCTTCTAATATCCTCAAAATTGGAAGGATGTGCCTTTTCATTATATTACTCTTGAAAAAAATTGATTTAAAGCAATGTCTCCATACCTCTATATCTATTTTGGCAAGAATATATTTTATTCTAATTTGCCTAAAATATTTTTCTTAGGTGCAGAAAACAAATAATCCAATATACTACTCAAACAATCAATTACAAACCTAGAAACAACTGGAAGGCCAGGAGAACAATTAAAACAGGCTAGAGTTCTCAAGACTAAGGAAATTATTGTTAACGATTACCACTCAATTTTATAGATCTCACTTACAGAACACATACACACACAAAAAATAAAAAAAAATCGAATGTTATTAGGCATAAAAAAACCAGTCAACAACTACTTTTCAGATGTGTGTTCAGATAAGGAAGAGTTGATATGCCTATCCAAGAGTGTCAATCACATCGGTACCATCTAAGTAGGACTTACATGATAAAAGCATCAAATTCTCAAGAACACAAAAGAAAAAATCAATAACAAAATAAGCTAAAAGAATTTAAATAATACTTTTCTTTTTTGCGGGAGGAATAAAAAACAAACACCTGAATATCAGGTGACAAAGAACTTTCCCAAGGTAGCTTAAAAATAGATCTCAAATTTCCAACCAAACAAACAGTAAACCAAGTTGACACGATGTGATAGCTCCCACAAACCAAAAAATAAATAAATAAATGTTTTCGATGAAGTTGAGTTCTTCCCCCTTTAAAAAGAGGACTTGAGCAAATTAACAATGAAAGTAAAATTCAATTGCTCCAAGCTGAGTTGGGGCTTTGCAAAGAGTAAAAATTAAAACTTCGAATTGAATCTCATCCCTTTCCAAATGAACAATACCCAGCATAAGCAGATACGCATCTGGGAATTTTTTTAAAAAAAATTTCTGATTCAAAAGGTATGCCAAGAGAGAGAAGGAGATAAAGGGAAGGAAAAAAATTGATACCTTGGTGGCCGAATGATGAAGTTAACAAGCTGTTCCATAGATCAAACGATCAAGATGATATCTTTCAGCTCTTCAAGCAAATATGCCTTCAACGTATATCAATTATTAAATATTTGCAGGGAAAAGAGAACAATAAAATGGAAAATAATGAAAGAAAAAGAGAGTAGCCAAGGGGAGAGAGAGAGAGAGAGAGAGGGGGTTGATGACGGTTTTATCAGACAAAGAAGCCAAGAAGAAAAAACTGAAAGAGAAGGGAGGCCTCGGTTATTGTGGGTTGCGGTGGGTCTCTCTCTCTCTCTCTTTCCAAGTTGCGTTTCTTTTCTTGAAAAAACTGAAAAAGCAAACTCGCACGTTACAAATAATAATTATTTTTTTCACATAACACACAAATAATGTTACGCACAATATTACGATTGATTTGAAAAATGATAACAGTTGATTGACGAAAATTAAGGATTAAGATATGATCGTAACATTATTTGTGTATGACGATATCCTATCCCAATAGGGATTCATGTTAAATTATACACATTAGTAAGTAAAACAATATAATTTAATATAATATGTTTTTCAAAGGAAAAAAATAACAAAACAAAACAAAAATATGTTTTGGTAGTTGCCAGCAGTGCCACCCAAGCCTCGTCGTCGCCAACGTGGGAAGCTTCCAAGTGGTGGCAATGGTGGTGTTGGCGGAGTGGACCGCCACACACGTCGCCATCTTCATTTGTGTAGCACGTGAGAATCAAGTTCATTTCTAATGGGCTACTTGGACCTTTTGAGTTTTGACCCATTTTCATTGTTTCCCTTTCTTCTCCTCAGCGTTCATCTTCCAAGTTCCAACTTCAATTTTCTTTTTCTTTTTGTTGGTAGGTAACTTCAATTTCAACTACACTGTCAAGGTTCAGTGGCTCCCTTAAATGAATATTTAATATATATTCAAATTAATTTATTATTTTTGTAACAAATATTTTTATTAAAAATGTTAAACATATTTATAATCTTATAAAGCATGATAAAAATGCTCACATTTAAATGTAATAATTGTATAATTTCATTTCATTTCATTTATTTGTAATAATTTCGATGTAAATTTAAATTAAAATGTGATCTTATTTATTTTAAATTTTAATTAATTTGTTAAGACACAAAAAATATTTACAATTAAGATTCTTTATTTTTTTTACAAATTTTTTTTTAACTCAATCTGAAGTACATTTTAATATTTCACTGATATAATACTTTCTTTCTTGTTAATAATATTAAAATTTTATGTTGACACTAGACTAAGTTTTCTTAAAAAAAATGTATATCCCCAAAATATAATAGGGTAGGAGTATAAAAATTGTATGCTACTTAATGAAGGGAATTTCCCCTTTACTTGTTTAAGTTTGTTCACTTTTCTTTTTTACTTAGTTTGTCAGGATGATTTGTTTATATTCATAGTAAAATAGTTACTTATACGATTGGCAAATATATTTTTCTTTTTCTCTAACTTTTTATTTTTTAAATATTTTTATAATTTATTAGATATTTAAAATTTTAAAAATAGAAAAATACAAATTAACTGACGTGCTAATTTCTAGCAAACCGGAAGTATTTGATAATGACCGGAGACCTTTCTCGTCCGTACACTTCATGTTGATGTTTAAGTGTTACCCACCATTCCACAAATTTCTTGATGCCACTAAACTGTGACACCCACCCCGTAACATGCTACCACTTGCATTGGTTTTTGGTTGCGTCGCAAGGCATAATAGATGATGGATTAAATGTAATAATAATCTCCAACGTTTCAGAACATTGCGCTCTGTCAAATCATGGTAATGAATTATCGACGATGTCCATGTCCTCAAGGGTATCAATCGGTGATTTCACATGCAGAATCAACTTTTGAAGTTTGAATTATAAAAATGGCATAGTACCAACCATAGATCAGCTTATCATGATTAAGGTTTAGTTTCCATAAATAATCATTTCCTACTACGAGTATTGTTTATAAACAATAAAATAGTATTTTCCGTCGTAAATAATATGTTTTCTATGTCCGCATTAAAAAATAAAAAGACGAAAGAGAAATTATGGATGTAGCATTTATTGATAGTCCCGCACGATTTCTAGGTCTTGAATCTTGATTCTGAAGTCCATCTATATTCTCCAAAGAAGAATAAAAACCCCAATGCCTCACGCTCTAATATGGAATTCAAACCACATTCTTGTATAACCAAATGATAGTAGTTCAGTTGTTGCATGGGAGCTAAGCATGTGAGGTGAGAACATGTGTTTGAATCTCTCTCCTACCATTTTTAGGAGGAGTTTAAAGCATTAATCCTAGACCCGTCCTAAATCGGATTAGTTGCGAAACAATGAACCGATTGAAATATTTTCAAAAAAAAAAAAAAACCACATCCTTGTATTTCTGTCCCTTCCAAAGTGCATAGCTTCAATCCTTACCATATTCTTGCGGGAACTAATTAATGGCTCGAGATACCCTTGTCTAATAAAAGAATACAAAGCTATTGGTATAAAATACAACGAACTGTAGTTGCAACTTTTATTCAATGCATTCAAAAGAAATTGCTAATCTGTATTAAGTATTCATTTATTAACGACAGGTCGATGGGTAATACTTACTACCGATTTATAATTCTTATTTTTTATTATCTTCTTTATTACTATCAGATTAATATAATAGGTAATGAGAGATTATACATGTTAAATCTGGTATCACCCAGTTAGAGGCGAAAGTTATTTATCATATTTCACCCTAAAGTAATGCTAGGTCCAACAAGTCTGTCATTATAATCGGCAATAGTTATTCATAAGCCTAAATTCAAATTTCTAAATAAAAGAAAATTACAAAGTAATAGGCCTGGAGACATAGTTATAGTCTAGATGCAAAGTAGGAGTCAACTTCAACATTCTCTCACATGGTGAGTACTTTGCAATCTTCTTCAAAGTTGTTCACCATTTTAATTTTTCTGAACTCACTACCTTGGTTAGAAAAGTTAGCACTATTGACCTTTATGCTAATTATCTTCTATCTTCTCTCTAATAAAGTGGTATTGTATGTCGATGTGTTTGGTCATTGCATTGCATGAAAGCACGAGTTCTTGGACAATAATGTAACATCCTGACTATCACACTTAATTATCACTCATTCTTGTATAAAGTCAAGCTCTTTACACAATATGTATAACAAAATAACTTTCTTGATGACGTGTATTAAAGTCATGTACTCTACCTCAATAGTCGATAAAACAACTGTGTTATTCCTCTTACTCATCCAACTGATAGCTCCATCAAATAAGGAAATAACGTATTCACTCGTAGACCTTCTGATATTAATGTCACCTCCCCAATCAGTATCCACAAAGATCTCCAGCTCTAATGGTGGCTGTCCTTTGAGCCATTCATGTCTTCATAGTATAACTCAAAGTCAGATGTACCACGAAAATAACAAAACACACATTTCACTATAATCCAACACTCCTTTCATAGCTTGGACATATATCTGCTCAATACTCCCACTACTTAAACAAGACCCCCATTGATTTTATATGTGTTAAGTGGATATGAGTCGACATCTTGATGCACGATAGGAGACAACCTCAACAAACTATAAATTTCATTCAACAAAAATAAAAATTAAATATGCTCATTTAGTTTATGCTTTGTGATGATCCAATATGATAAATATTGACATTAGATAATATTTTTATAAAAAAAATTAGATATTCAAAATCTAATGGCTATTTCACTTAAGTTGGATCAATCTAAGATTTGGTTGTAGGAATAATAATTTAAATTAATTAAAATAAAAAACAAGAATTAATAAATTTAAAATAAGAACACAAACAAGAACACAAAAACCAAACAAAGAGTTATCAAGAATAAATGGTTAAGTTCGATTTCCCCAAATTTTCACTTATGTAACTTAATTTAAATTCTCAATATCACCAATCAATTTAACACAATTAGTTAATATCCAGTTTCTTAGTATCCTAATCTATTACTATTTTTCAAAAAACCTAATGCCTTAGCATCTCTTAGAATAACTCAAGCATTATAAATAGATAATTAGCAAGATTACATATTTTCATACATCTATTATTATGCATAAAATAGTTCACTCAATATTGAAAGAAAATATTGTATTGAAAAGATAAATCAAATCACATCAAATTTTCAGAACAGTGACCATTTTGCCACTGTTCATCATAAAATTTACTAGAATGCCACGTGCACAGTAAAAATTTCCAAACTGCCACGCAGGCTAATTCGCTACACTGTGTAGCGAATTAGGCCTGCTGATGTGTCACCTCCCCACTGGTCCACGTATTTTGCTACACAGTGTAGCGAAATACGTGGTCAAAAGGTCAGCTTGGTCAGTCACCTTTTGGACACGTGTCACATCCCTGTTGGACACATAATTCGCTACCTTGTCTGGTGAATTATGTATCAGAAGGGTCAGATCATGTCAACTCAAAGTCAGGCCACGTGTCACTTCCCCACATAATTCGTTGTACTACATAGCGAATTATGTGGCTATTTTTGGTATGAGTCATAGCGAAATATGTTATATCTGCCAAGTGTCATCTCCCCACTAATTCGCTAGGGGGCATAGCGAATTATGAGCATTAATTTGCTACCCCCCATAGCGAATTAAGAGTTATAAATAAGTCCATTTCGGTGTGAGCCACCACTATGAAAATTTTCCTTTTATGTTAAGGTTTACTACTTTTGTGTTGTTGTTGAATCTTAGTTTTTTTCTATTTTTGTAGGATGAGTGAGGGTAGGAATGATTTATTAGCTACTGTTTATTATAATGGGAGAAAATACTTTGGTCCAAATGGGAAAGTGTTTGAAGGTGATGCAAAAATGTTTCGCATAAGCCCAAGATGCAATCTTCACGAGCTGAAGAAGTTAATATACAAGAAGTTGAGATTACAACGTGGTCAAACTCTTGCTCGGTTGACCGCTAGATGTGCCTTGGGTAACCCCGTGCAATGGGTTGGTGTGGAAATTGTCGACGATGAAGATGTAACGTTAGTAGTAGATGCAAGCACTTCTGAACACGGCGAGTCAAGATTTATTGAATTGTATGCAGAAGTCAACTACGGTGGACAATCCAACAGTCAACCGAGCAATCCGTGCACTGACATCATCCATATAAACATGGTGCCAGTGGTTAATCCGGAAGTTGAGGTCGTGTCCCCAACGCTTAAATGCCAGTGGTTAGCCTAAGCATTATAGAGTGGAATTAATTAACACATTTTACTAGCCTAAGGTATCAAAAACCAAAATTAAATA